TCGGTTGTTTTTCTGTAGTCAATGAAGAAATATTGTCAACCGTAGAACTAACGGGTAGTATACGCGTATTTGTGTCGGAGATTTGATCACAGCGTTTACCAAAGTCTGTGTTGAAATATAATTGAGTGTGAGTAGAAATGCCGATGATGTAAGATTTATGAAAGATAAGCATGACTAGCCTTTGAGTGCATGTGGATCGCTCAGGAAATTTAAGTATAACGGTGTCGTAGGATTGACTACCACTTATTCTGATGTCCAGCCGTACAGACAATATTAGCAGAGGCTTGTTGTCACCGTCGGAGACTTTTGTTTTAGTCTTTATTTGTGAGAGGCTACCGGAGGAGCACGACATCTGTCCGTGGCTTATCTTTGAGAAGCATCCGGCGCTAAGTGTTTCGACAACCGAAGACTTAAGTGCATTGTGAGAGGTGTCACGACTTCGCTCGGTGTCATTTGTGTGAGTGACGGTGTGAGTGATTTTGGTTTTGTCGGCTTTAAGTATATTATGTGACTCTTTTTGTTTATTCATTATTAATGGATTTTGTTTGCCGCGATTGTCTTTATTATGTTGTTTACCGCGTGTTTGTATTGTATTTGATGTTTGCACCTGATATGTATTTAAGATATCTGTATTGCGTTTTCGCGGTGCATTAATGCCGTATGGTTGTTTGCGTGAGTAGTCATTGTATTGTATCCGTGAATAATTGTAGTTACGAGTATTGGCAACAGGTGAAGGTAAACATGGTTTTGTATTGGTATACGCTTGGCTGGTATACCTGTTTTTGCGTTGTACAGACTTTGATAGGTTAGTTGGTCGGACATCGGCTGTACCGAACTGTGTTTGCATTATAGACTTTACGATGTCCCATTGCGTATAGTTGTCCATTATTTCATCGGCGTACCATTGAAGAGCTTTTGATTTCAGGTTGTACATTAACTGATGGACGCGCTCTGTACCCGACATTTGTTGTGTATTTAGCTTGTATAGTTTGAGCCATGTTTCAAATTTAATATCGGTATTATAACCGGAATATTTAGTGATAGTCATAATTATTAAATTTTTAAATTGTTTTTATAATAAATTATATTTTATATTGATTAAGTATTATATGTAATTTTAAATTTAAATACTATAAATAGTGATAAATAGTAACCTTTAACAATTGGTTACAGTGTTATAAATGTTTTATAATAATTTATAAAGAATTGAATGTTTAGAATTCAAATGAGTAACCTTAACAAATGGTTACTATGCTATTGTTATAATAAGTGTTTATAATTAGATTTTTAAAAATATATATATTGTATTATGTCACAAATGTATTAAGTGTTATTAATTGTATTCAAGTCTAAAGTGACTTTAGATATACTGTAGTTATTTWTTTATAATATTTGTTTAAATATATTTTATAATAATAGAAATAATAATTAAGTTTAATAACTCTAAATAATAAATGATGTGAACAATTAAGTATATGTGTGACTTAATTGTTTAATAATAAATTTGTAATAAAAGTTTTTAAATAATATATTTTATAGAAATTATAAATGTATTGATTAAATTTCAATAATAATTGTTACAGTAATTAAATGTTTTATTATAGTTTGTATTAAATGATTTAGTAATTAAATGATTAGAAATATTTTAAATATATTTTGTTTGTATTTATGAGTAATTATATTTTATATCTAGTATGTCTGGTATATGTCTGTTATTATAGTATATTAAATTATTTTTAAATAAGTGTCGTTAGTAAGTTTTAAATAAGTTGACTTTATAAATGTATATTTAGTTTTAGTTTAGTTTAAATTGTAATAAATTGTTTTTTTTAAATAGCTATTAGTATTAAATTGTTATAATTGTATTGCTTTATTGTATGATAGACTATACAAGTTATTTACGTATAATTAAGTTYAAAATAAACTGACGTTAACTGTTGTCTATACTGTACAATAAAATATGCAGTAGTATATGCAGTAGTATATATGTAGGAATGAGTAACCAGTTATCGGCTACTAGTACTTGTGTACGAGAATTAAATTGTAATATTTGATTGTTAACTACAGTATGTGTTTGAGTATTATAGGCGCTTGTGTTAAATGTTTACGCTGCGTTTGTGAGGGCTAAATGTGTTTATGTTTATTTGCGGCTTACGGTATCGCGTGGCTTACTATCAGCGCAACTAAGGTTTACGCGGCTTACGATTGGCACGGCTGTGATTCGCGCAATAGTGTACTGATCGTCCACCGCTCGTTCAGGCTACGTAGATCAGATTTTTATGTGAGCCCTAATAAGTAGTATTTATTCAGCGGCTATTGTTTCGGTAATATGTGCGCCGAGTATTGAATTAGTACATTAAATGTACTGTAGTTATAGTTTAGTTATTTTTTTAAAATAAGTTTAATATTATCAGTAATATTTGCGTAGCATTTAAGTTATATTGTTTGTAATAATTTGTACATTAAGTTTATATATGTAGGCTACGGTTAATTACATCAACGTGTAATTACTATTTGAGTTTACGGCAAATATATGTTATGAACTGCTATTGATATATAATAGGTATATACTGTACGGCACTATCGGTATAAAGTAAACTTTGAATTAGGCCGTGTATAGTGTTAAATATTGGKTGACTGATTTATACAGTATAATAGTATAATTGCTTTTAATGTTTTTTTTTTAATAATTGTACAGTATATAGAATTATTTTTAAGTGAAAGCGCAGTTATAATTATATAGGTTTAGGCAGGAATGGTATTAATTGTATTGTCGGTAAATAGGTAGGGATTTGCACATTTAACATTGTTTTGTCCAATTTTTATTTTTTTTAATTTTTTTTTGATTAACTAAATTACTAAAATATTGTACATAAAAAACAATCAAAATATAYAAATATACAAAGCATTATAGGCTATTTAATCTAGTTATTTATTTATATAAATAGCTTTTTTATAAACTAATGAGAATATATGTTTTATTAACTTAATATATAATTATTATTAACCATATGTTAAACTTGAATATTAATTAAATTATACACATTTTTTTAGTTTTATACAATGAATATAAATAATTTTTATTATTATTTTATTTATTTGTGTGTACTTGTAATAATACATTTAAYATTAAAGTTTTGTCCAACTTATTTTTTAATTTTTATTTTTTTTGTAAACTATTATTTTACTATTGAGAATCGCATCTAATACCTAATGGCTTTTAGTTTGTTAATAATTATTATAATAATTTTTAAATAAAATTTAAGTAATAAATTTTTAGTTACATTATTATTAGTAGTACTACTACCTAATATTAGATGACATAAAATTTAAGCAACCTAAATGATTGGACAAATAATTATTAGCATTTTTTAGATAAATCATTGTTTTTCTATAGGTTTTCTTTATTTATTAAAATATTTATTATTGACTTATTTATACTAGAGACTGAAAACTGACCTGATTTTTCAGGTCAGGTCAGGTCAGGTAAAAGTTAGGGCTAAGGTCAGGTCAGGTACGGGTCCGAACACCAAATTTTTTTGGTCAGGTCAGGTCCGAAAAGTTTTTATTCACTATTTAAATTACAATTATTACAAAATATCAAAATCAAACACAAAATTTATTAAATTATTATTTATGAAATATTTGTATAAATAAAACATAAAATATTACAAAATATCATAGTTTGATCTAATAAATAATGGCATATTAACTTTATTAGTATCTAAGTTAGATCTACGATCAGTTAACGTTAATCCCGAGTAATTAAAGTTAATTTAGACAAATTTGTTGCGGGTATAGTATGAATAAAATTGTTTTTTGATAAAATTATTTTCGGACCTACATAGTCAGATCAGGTCAGGTCCGAGTCCGAGATTTTAGGTATCAGATCAGGTACGGGTCCGAAACTTTTCGCTCTCTAATCTATACCATCATAAATTATTAAATTAAATTTTTAGTATGAATTTTGCTAATAAAATTGCAGTAATAACTGGTTTATTATTTAAAATTATTATATTTAGTTAATATATACAATATATTATAGATAAACCATTTGTAATTCAAGATTAAAAAGATAAAAAAAAGATTAAAAACATTTGTAATTTTGTTTTGTTTAATTAAATTAAAAATAGTAAACTATCCAACAATACTAATAAAAGTAAAATAGAAACAAAAAAATTACATTTTTAAAAACTTAATAGTTTAATAATTTATCTTTTATAAGTAAAATTTTTATTATATGTTATACTGTTAGATAAAACATTTATTAACATTTTTGTATTATAGATAATTTTTTTTACTAAATTAAAAATTTTATATTTAAGAAAATTGTTTTTCATATAACTGCAAATCATTGGCAAAAATTTAATTTATCTTTAATTGAAATAGTTTATAATATTATTGTAAATTATAATGATCTTTATTCTTTTATAATGATCAGTTAATAATCAAATATTAATTATTAATTTTATAATATTAGTCTTAAAATATTTAATAATTTTATTTTATTTAGTATTATATATAATTATTATTAATTTAATATATAATATTAAATATATTTTAAACATTATCACTGAAAGTTTTGTTTAGTATAACTTACATAAAGAAAATTATTTTTTACTATTTTCTAATAACTTAATGACAATAATTTATATAATATATTCAAATATTTTTTTTTTAAATAATTAACTTCTTAATTATATATATATTTTTACTTATAATAAAAACAGCTATAAAATTAATAAGCTTACATAAAAATAACATTAGTATTTTAATTTTAATAATAAACTGTAGATTATTATTTATATATCAAACAGATATATAAATTTTAATATAATAAAAATAGTATTATGGCTTTGTTTTTAAAATCTAAAATGTGCTAAATTTTTAGTTTCATAATAATAATAATAGCTTATTAAATTGTTAAATAGAAACACTATATATAATATGTATAATAGAAAATAACTCTATATTATATATGAATAAAAAATGTTTTATAATTAGATTTTAGATTTCAAAATAATAGTGTAATCATTAGGTCTGCAACTAATCAAATCATTTGGATTGGGATCCAAATCGCTATAAGTATCTAAAACAATGTCATAGTTTTGTGTCGATTGTAGAAATCGGACCAAAACTAGAAACAGGTCAGCGATGGCCAACTTCTCGCCTAAACATACACGACGTCCCACACCAAAGGGTATGAATGCCGGCGAATGAGTAGTCATATAATGGCCGTCACTGTCGAGGAAGCGCTCGGGTATGAAATCGAGACCATTTGTCCAATACTTGTTGTCATTGTTTCTTAATATAATTGCCTGAAATGTCAATACAGAAGTATCTTTCGGTATCATATGATTGCCTGAAAATAATAGAAAAATATATTAATAAAATTAGTTAATTAATTACTTACTAATAATTAAATACCAATTTTACTGTCGACCACTGCTTTATGCATAAGACCGGATGGAAAGACATTTCTGAATCGCAAAGTTTCGGCAATAAATGCCATCACATAATGACATCGTTGTCTATCTTCATGTCGGGCCAATCGGTCACCAATTTTTGATTCAATCTCTTGTCGTAACTTTGTTTGCATCAGAGGATAGTAACTCATTAATAGTAGTATCCATTGAAAGGTATTCTGTGAGGTATCAGTGCCCGCATAAAACAGATCTATGAGAGTCATAACTAGATTGTCATCCGTTAGATGAGGTGCCGACTCTTTTGCCTCCCGGAGCGCATCATTTTTGGCAGTAATGAGTGCATCGCAAATGTCTCTTTCAATACTGGGTTCGTAATCAATATAGTGTTGTCTAAACTTATTAATCATTAGTAGCCGTAAGTCGTCAAACAGTTTCCTATGTTTGTCGACCAACTTATAGTCAAACAATCGTATGAGTGGTGAGAACTCCCATAACACCCATCGGTATTCAATTTCTTTATCAAAGTCCAGTAAAACATATTTAAAATAATTAAACTCAGAATCAGTGATTGAATAACTGTTATAATAAAAACATATGATTTAATTAATAAATAAATAATAAAAAAATGTTTTTTATTATAAAATATATATTACTTTTCACCAAAAGTACTGTTGGCCAGAATGTTAAGAAACATGAGATATATGTAATCAAATGGTTTAATAGGTTTATCCGGTCCTTCCTTTTCTAACATAGTTTTTAATGTATTGTCCACTGAATCGACGATTACATCCAATAGATGATCATTAGTTGAGTATTTTCTTTAAATTAATTTATTTTTTGTATTATTTAATTAATAAATCAATAGATTACTAAAATATATATATATATATATATATACTAAATTATATAATATTATATATATAATTTCAATAATACAGTACTTACTGTACGGCCGCGTGACTGACACGTCTCAGTGCTTCCCATGTTTGGCCGTAATCGGCAAATCCAATGTCAGTATATTTGTCTGTCTTAAATAAACTGCCTATAATTGAATACAAATAATATATATATATATTTCATACTAATTAATGCTATTTTTTTTTTAATTTAATAATTTAAATCAAATGATTACCGAAATAACTTTCAGGTCTTCCAGAAAATTCATTTTTATTAAACGCTTCTCTAGCGATGTCGGCGTCAGTGATGACAACTATAGGTGTGTTATACATATGTAATGTAAACACCGATCCATACTTTTGAGACAATTGACGGTAAACTTCAATCCAATGAAGTTTTGATTTAAATGCTATAATAATTATTATAATAGAAATAATAATATTAACAATAATAGAGTGTTTAATTACATTAAGTTAATTAAAGTATTTTATTAAAAATTTCAATTTTTTAAATACTTACACAATATATTGCCTAATATAGGTATTGGAAATGGACCGGGAGGTAAACTATAATATCTTTGATAAAACTTTGCCACTTTATAGACAATATAAAATAAAATTATTGAGATTAAWATATCCGAATAAATCATTATTAATATATATATATATATATATATAATAATACTTTGAGAGTTATAACATATAATTTACAAACGGACAATATATATATAGTTTAGTTTTATTTTTATAGTGATATTTACAAACAAAAAAATGTTTTGTTTACTGAAATCTATACGAGCCTTTTTTGTGTCTGTGTCTGTGCGTAGCATTTTTTGTTGCAAATTTTGAAATACAGATTCAGTTAGATAACTACTAATAACGTATTGAAAATTTTCATTAAAAATAATTTATCTCTTCAGGAACATGTTCAAAATGGCGGATTACTGAAAAATTTCCAAAAAAAATAATTATTTTTTCTGTTTTATATACAAATATAGAATCAATCTTATAATGTATATACTAATATAGAGTACAAAATATAATAATGACAACYCTGACCCTTATTGTAAAATAAGGTAAATATCGTATAAAGCTATTTTTAATAAACCAAAAAATTGAAAAAAATCTAATTCAACCAAAAACAGATTTAAAAAGTTTATATTAGCTGAGCATATAGTATACAACAATTAATAATTATATCTATCCGATCTGATTCTTTAACTGAAAGTGACCAGATTTTGTAAACCGATTTATAAAAATTGTAAAAAGTAAATAGTAAACAAATCAACATTTTTACATGTTTGAGTTATAAGAGATATTAATGTATCAAATACTACTGGGTGACATTTTACCTAAAGCTGACTTTTAAGGTGCCAAACATAAGTTATTGAAGTTATTGATATTTTGAGTTTCACTTATCATAACTACAAAATTTTCATTAATGATCGAAATGTTTTTAAACAACTATTATTGAATTAATTTTATCTTTTTTTAAGTATCATAGATATTGTGACATATGAGTTTCTTTCATTTTCAGAATAATTTTTATTATATAGCCGTTATTACTTAAAACTAATGGTTATCAAAATATTTATGCTATTCAAGTTTTTTTATGATAATGCTTTCTAGCACTCTCAACTAGTTTTATAGAATTTACTTCATAATGATTTATTAAATTTATTTATAATGACTAACAAAATGTATCATGTACATTTGCAATTTTCTTAATTAAACATTAAATAAAAATAATAGTCATTAATCTCTCTATTTTCTCTTTAGTTGATATAGTTTAAGCAAATATTTAATTATTTTATTTTATTTAGTATTATATATAATAATTATTAATTTTATTTATAAAATTAAATATATTTTAAATAATATCACTGAAAGTTTTATTTAGTATATCATAAATAAAGAAAATTATTTTTTTATATAATTTATTTAATATATTAAAATATTTATTTGAATAATTAATTTCATAATTTATATTTATTTTTACTTATAATAAAAACATTTATAAAATTAATAAGTTTACATCAAACTCAAACTAATTAATTTTTGAAATAAAAAAATAACATTAGTATTTTATGTTTAATAATATTTATTTAATGATATAATCTTATTAATACTAAATTAAAAAAATTTTATTAGAAAAGCAAACTATAATACTAGTTTTAAAATGTATTTAATAAAATATTTCACAAAACTATTTTAAAATTGCTTAAATATCTATTAAAATTAAATAATTAAATTATTAACTGAATTTTCTTGACTAAAATATTTAACAAAATATATGAAATAAAACAAATATTTTTTAGCACTTTATTGATTTTGTCGTTTATTAAATAAATAAAATTAAAATTGAATAAAATGTAATATAATTAGTATAATAATACTACATAATAAAAACTTTTTATTTTTAGTATCTAATAATAAATTAAATTAGAGTTAATAATAAATATTTTCAAAAATTATTAATCCATTATATTTTACAATACATTTTAAAACAAATTTTCATGTTTCCTTGTACTGCCATCTATTGTTTTATATAAAATAAATTTAAAAAATCCGTTTATTTTTAATATAAATGACAATTACCGTTTTTAACCACTTAATTAGACATATCAATTTTAAAAATTATTTAAAAGTATCAAAAAGGTATCGAACTAATTATCACTAAACCTGCCATACCCTGGCAGATAATGCGATAACTAAAATAATCGAATGGCAGTAAATGTGATAAATGGTATCTACACTATTATAAGTGTTTTAAATATCTAAATTTAGTTATAATTAATTAAATAAATGATCAATCAATAAATAAATAAATAATTTCATATCCTAAGATCGATCTATAATTAATAAATGATCGATCAATACTAATTTAATGTAAATCTAATGTAAAATAATCAAATAATTAATAAATTTATTTTTATTTACCCGAAAAATCTTTAATACATTTATAATGAAATAAATATCAAAATAAACAATTTAAGAAATGGAAATATAATTATAATTAATAGTTAGGATCAGTAAAGTTAAATAAAATACAAGAAGTTTTCAAATCGATGGTAGCTTTGTCTGCCTCATAGAAGGTGTATACATCGGGTCCCGCAGTCTTCACTAAATCCTTATAAATAGGTCGGACAACACCGGCACTGATAATATCCTCTGCGGTGCGAAACGCAGTCTTATTTGCCAAACGATTATTCTTGAAACTGATAAGACATAAGTCCATTGCAGAGATGGCTAAATAGATCGATCTCTTCATGTTATCGTTGGCTTCGGTGAACGCAAACTATGCCGTAATGCATAAGATATGGCCAATAATTGGGTGCTTTTGTGGTCATTATAATATTGCTGTATAAATACGGTATAATAGCATTGCCAGATCCGCCTTTAAATAGTTCCAGATTCCGTTGACCCACATATGCGGCAAATTTATTGAATGTCATCCGATTGTTACAATTGTCTCCTCTGGATATCTATAAACATATTGTTAGGTAATCGATACCGACGTGAATCACTATATCCATCAAAAAATAGTGTTTTACTATTTTTAATGCCAAACAAAGTATGAGATATAAGACATATCTCATCGTTGGTTACGCCAACAAAAATCGGGTCCAATATCTTACTTATCGATGACATTGTCCAGTAATTTGATCGATCAGATCGATCCATGGTTTGATCGCTCTCTAGATTACCGGTATTGACAGTCTGTTCCAAAGGGTGATTGTCTTTCAAACTCGTGAACTGATTGTTAAGCGAATGACTCAATTGATCATTCAAGAGTTTAATTTAATATCAAGAATCGGTAGATCGATCAGTACTTCGGAGTTATCCGTCATTACCACGGATTGATCGATCAATTCTTCTGAGTTATCTGTCATTACCACGGATTGATCGATCAGTACGGAGTTAGCTTTCATTACCATATCATTGATAGATTGGCTAATAGGTGTGTTAGAGATGACTTTCTTTGAATCATAGAAAACCGTCATATGGTATTGGAGTGATAGTAGTTATTAATCGTTTTAAACTTTTGGTATTATCAATAGGTTTATTATTACTTTCTTGATTTGATCTCTTTTTTATTGTGAGATCAAGAGGTAAATCATTTAAATATTCAACGCTAATTTGATCACACATTTTATAAAATTTATTACTCAATCATCGGTAATAAAACAAAGAAATTGTTGTTTAATATTAAAGCTTTAAAAAACACATTTTTTATATAACTTCAAAACTTTATTTTACATTGTATTACAGTTTAAATAGTTTTAAATATTTGATCAAAAACACTATGTATGGATCGATCATACATTACAGTACTAAAGGGTGGCATTAATTAAATAATGAGAAAAAATTATGAGTGGCATGAATTTGATACATAATAAAAACTTGTAACATGGCTGGGATTTTGTGCCCCTAAATCTAACAAATTCCAGGGGAACCAATTACCACAAAAGCTGCCACTTATCGCATTATCTGCCATGGAAAGGCGTGTGCGCAACAACGGTAATTTGTGATCATATTTTATATAACGTCAAAGTTTTTTTTCACTGATAAAAAACTTTCTGAGCATTCTTAACTGGTTAAAAATAAATTACATAAAATTTATTTTTATTTAAAAAGTTTAAAATATTTAAATATTAATGTTTTAATATTTCATTGCAATATTAGGTTTAGATAAATAAATTGTTAAAAAAAATATATAAAGTGTTAAATAGATAATTGCTAATTTACATTTTGTTAGTCATGATAAGAAAATTAATAAATAATTATGCGATAAATTTATTTTTTTTAAATAATAGTATTATTATAAAAACTATATATATTGTTGTATATTTTATGTTATAACCCTTAAAGTATTTTTTTAAATAAAAAATATATATATATATATATTAATAATGATTTATTCGGATATATTAATCGCAATAATTTTATTTTACATTGTCTATAAAGTTACAAAGTTTTATCAAAGATATTATAGTTTACCTCCCGGTCCATTTCCAATACCTATATTAGGCAATATATTGTGTAATTTTTTAAAAAATTAAAATTTATTAATAAAAAACTTTAATTACATTAATGTAATTAAMCACTCTATTATTGTTAATATTATTATAACTATTATACTAATTATTATAGCATTTAAATCAAAAGAACATTGGATTGAAGTTTACCGTCAATTGTCTCAAAAGTATGGATCGGTGTTTACATTACATATGTATAACACACCTATAGTTGTCATCACTGACGCCGACATCGCTAGAGAAGCGTTTAATAAAAATGAATTTTCTGGAAGACCTGAAAGTTATTTCGGTAATCATTTGATTTAAATTATATGAAAAAAACAAATTGCATTAATTAGTATGAAATAAATACATATATTTTTATATTCAATTATAGGCAGTTTATTTAAGACAGACAAATATACTGRCATTGGATTTGCAGATTACGGCCAAACATGGGAAGCCCTGAGACGTGTCAGTCACGCGGCCGTACAGTAAGTACTGTATTATTGAAATTATATATATAATATTATATAATTTAGTATATATATATATATATATATATTAGTTATATATTGATTTATTAATTTAATAATACAAAAAAATAAATTGATTAAAGAAAATACTCAACTAATGATCATCTATTGGATGTAATCGTCGATTCAGTGGACAATACATTAAAAACTATGTTAGAAAAGGAAGGACCGGATAAACCTATTAAACCATTTGATTACATATATCTCATGTTTCTTAACATTCTGGCCAACAGTACTTTTGGTGAAAAGTAATATATATTTTATAATAAAAAACATTTTTTTATTATTTATTTATTAATTAAATCATATGTTTTTATTATAACAGTTATTCAATCACTGATTCTGAGTTTAATTATTTGAAATATGTTTTACTGGACTTTGATAAAGAAATTGAATACCGATGGGTGTTATGGGAGTTCTCACCACTCATACGATTGTTTGACTATAAGTTGGTCGACAAACACAGGAAACTGTTTGACGACTTACGGCTACTAATGATTAATAAGTTTAGACAACACTATATTGATTACGAACCCAGTATTGAAAGAGACATTTGCGATGCACTCATTACTGCCAAAAATGATGCGCTCCGGGAGGCAAAAGAGTCGGCACCTCATCTAACGGATGACAATCTAGTTATGACTCTTATAGATCTGTTTTATGCGGGCACTGATACCTCACAGAATACCTTTCAATGGATACTACTATTAATGAGTTACTATCCTCTGATGCAAACAAAGTTACGACAAGAGATTGAATCAAAAATTGGTGACCGATTGGCCCGACATGAAGATAGACAACGATGTCATTATGTGATGGCTTTTATAGCCGAAACATTGCGATTCAGAAATGTCTTTCCATCCGGTCTATTGCATAAAGCAATGGTCAACAGTAAAATTGGTATTTAATTATTAGTAATTAATTAATTAACTAATTTTATTAATTTTTTTTTGTTTTCAGGCAATCATATGATACCGAAAGATACTTCTGTATTGACATTTCAGGCAATTATATTGAGAAACAATGACAACAAGTATTGGACAAATGGCTTTGATTTCATACCCGAGCGCTTCCTCGACAGTGACGGCCATTATATGACTACTCATTCGCCGGCATTCATACCCTTTGCTTTGGGACGTCGTGTATGTTTAGGCGATAAGTTGGCCATCGCTAACCTTTTCCTTATTTTGGTCCGATTTCTACAATCGACACAAAACTATGACATTGTTTTAGATACTTATAGCGATTTGGATCCCAATCCAAATGATTTGATTAGTTGCAGACCTAATGATTACACTATTATTTTGAAATCTAAAATTTATTTATAAAACATTTTTATGGGACAGTCTGAAAAAACCAGTTTTTTCAAAAAAAACCAATTTTTGGTTTTTTTGAAAGTCTGAAAAATACCAAAAATTGGTTTTTTCACGAATATATAATTTTAATCAAATATCAAAAATATATTTATTAATTACAATTTTTTACAAGACCACTTGACCCCTGGTCATTTATGATATAAATTATTTAAAAATGATTATAAAGCATTTATATTATTTAATTATAAGATTTTATCATTAAATTTAATTATATTGACCACTTTTGACCACTGGTCAATATTTATTAAAAGTAGTCAATTATTTATATTATTTAATAATTATAATATCTTGATAAAAACTATTTTCTGTTAATATTGACTAAACTTGACCAGTGGTCAAGTGGTCAATATAACTAAATTTAATTATAAATCAATAATTATATAATATAAATGCTTTATAATTATTTTCAAATGATTTTTATCATAACTGACCAGTGGTCAAAAGTGGTCAATATAAACCCAAGTTATCTTAGATAAAAAATATATAATTATTAAATATATTTTAATTATTAATTTAATTATTAAATATAAAATATTTGATTAAAATTATATATATTACTGAAAAAATTGTTTTTTTTGAAAAAAACTTGATTTTTTCAGACTGTCCCCATTTTTATACATATTTATATTATATAATATAGAATTATTATATAACTTTATTTCTATTTAATAATTTAATAARTTACGATTATTATGAAACTTTAGTACATTTTAGATTTTAACAACAAAAACAAAATATTATTTTTAATATAATTTACTTTATATACATTTCATATATATATTACTTTATACATATATGTATATTTGACATACCGTATATGCTAGTTGAGCACCTGTAGATAGGGTAGTAGTTTTAACATACTGTGTCCATATGTTTCTAATGTTATTTTAATCGTTTAACATACTAAATATAATTATTAATTTATACTATTAATTTCAGTGTCTATTGCGATATTATATATTGTACAGTAGTTGTATTGTATAGCTATCAATTATTTATATAAATATATATTTATTGTAAAAGTAAATCTCAACTTTGCTGACTATACAAAATTTTATAAATTGTTTTTTATTTTCTAAATACTGTATTATAATTATTTTGCCAATCAGTATGTTTTTATTATTTCAAAAAAATATTGTTTTCAATTTTTTTAATAAAAATATAATATTCATTCCAAAATATAATAAATAAAATAAAAATTGCTTTTAATACTATAAAGGGGTTTTTGGGTCAATAATAGTCTATAGGACTAAAATAATGTATAGATTAATATATATATATATTTTAATATCAATTCAGTTCAGATTTATTAAATATTAATTAACTTTCACAAGTTTTACCAAATTATATCTAACTGTCCAAAACCTCTCTCTCTCTCTCTCTCTCTCTCTCTCTCTCTCTCTGTCTRTCTCTCTCTCTCTCTCTCTCTCTCTCTCTCTCTCTCTCTCTCTCTCTCTCTCTCTCTCTCTCTCTCTCTCTCTCTCTCTCTCTCTCTCTCTCTCTCTCTCTCTCTCTCTCTCTCTCTCTCTCGCTATACATGTATTCAGTGTATTAGCTGTTAATAACTATCAGTAATAACAAAACAGTTCATAGCAATGTAAACCAATGTTATACATTATAGTTTATATTCATATATAACACATTAAATTTATTGAAACTAATTTTAATTAAATCTAAGCAGTATTTGTAGATTAATCATAATATAAATTTTAACTAAAACATTAATGCAATGTATAATATCTATAATTTAGAAATTTTCTGTTTCATTTACTATGACTATAAAACTAACATTTAAAAAATACAAATATAAATCATTAAGAAAAATTATAGCAGTATTAGTAGATGGGGAACATTTATAACATATATTTTTTAATATATAGGTGAGTTAACAAAAATTTTTATTTTATTTATTTAAGTATAATGTGGCATATATTAAATAAAAAAATTAAAGCATTTATTATAATCTTAATAAATGCTTTAATTTATTTAATTAAATCAATTAAGTCAATCACTTTATTATTTATTATTTATTTATTTAAATATAACTTTTTATTAAAATATTCAAAAATATTCTTAAATAAGCTAATTACTAATAATTTACAAAATTTTTATTTAAACATTTTAAACACAAACACTTATACTATAATTCATATAACAAACAAAATGTTTAGAAAATTGCTGATTAATGAAAATATTAAGTAATTTGAAAAAATGAAATAAAAATGTTTTGTAAATATTTAATTAACATCATGTACTTAGAAATAATAATAAAATATTATTAAAAATAATTAATAACTTAGTAAATAAATTGTTAGCTTTCAGTAATGATTTATATAATGATTAATACAGTACTGTATATTATAATAAATTATATTTTTTTAGTTTTACTATAAATCAAATTTTTGTATACTTAAAATTATATTTATGCTTTATATATATATATATATGATATACATGTATATTATAATTAATTAATTTATAAAAAATACAATTCAGTAAACTTTAAATATTATGGCAGTTATAGAAAAGTTTTAGTCTGAGATTTTAAACATACAAACAAAAATTAAACTTTATATAAACTTTTTTTACATTTTTAAATTATAGAAAAAAAACTTTGAATAAATTTTTAGAATAAGCAAAATCATTAAGGAATTTAAAATTTGAAAAAACAATAACATTAATATTCTAATTTATTTTACAAATGTAAATTGAAATACTAAATATTAGTAAAATAATATATAAACTATTAAATAAATAAATAAATATTTTTATATTAGTTTATAAGTTGATATTTTTCAGTATAGCTTTAGATACAGTGCTGTATAGTTAGTTAACTAATTTTTTTAAAAAACACAATTTTTAATAAGTTTAAAATAATTATTAAAATTTTAATAATTTTTTTAACAATGTTTGCTATTTTATTAATTGCAATTATAATATCTATAATTGTTTTAATTGGTATAGTATTAAAAAATATATATATAATTTCAACTAAGTTTAATTAATGAATTTTTTTAATTTTTCTTGATTAATGTTAATATAAAATATATAGTATTTAAAAATCATTTTAAAAATATCAACCATTGGAGTCAATTTGGTATTCAAGGACCTAAACCAGTGCCTATAATAGGAAATATTGTTGCAATTTTGAAAGCAAAATATGATATACCCTGGTCTAAACAATATGGCAAATCTGGTTTCTATGGGTAAATTATTATTATATATATTTATATGTAAATTATTAAAATATTATAAAAGGTAATTTTAAAGTTTATATTATAAACATAGTTATTGTATAATACAGTTTATACCACTTAAAAAGTTTAAATTTAAATAATATTATGTAATGATTTAGCCCGGGTACTGTATATAACTTACCTAATATAACTGTAACTGTATACTAAGTTACCTTGCTTACCGTAAAGTTAACTGAACACCATATTACTCAAATTTAAAYCTTTAAATGGCATTATCTGTATATACTAGTGGTGCAAGTTGAGTCTTGTCCAGTCCTGTCCCATTGTATTGTCTTTCAATACTAATATTAATCTAGTAATTTTTTTAACTATAGTTTTAATTATAGAAAAACATTTTTTTTATCATTGATTATATATATATTTATATATAAATTAACTAATTATTTATATTGTTGTTTCATATATATATATATATATATATATATATAATGGACAGTCTATTTGAATTTGACACACCGGTGCTTACTGTATGCGATTTTCGAAATGCCCACCATGTCCTAGTGAAACATTTTGAAACATTTACTAGACTTGATTTTGATTATCCCGAAGCTATGGTAAAAGTGGGCAGTTTTGTTAATACCGATTCTACCCGTTGGAAACGTATACGCATAGAAACAGCAGTATTGTTTACCAGCCGTCGGATGCGTGTATTCTACGACAATGTTATCGATAAGTGTTCTGCAAATTTGGTCAAACATTTCGATAAAAATATCGGTTACGGCAAACCGTTTGCTGTCAAAGCTGAAACTGAACGCTTAACTTTAGACATTTTCCTTGGCTACGCCCTATCACAGGCCAGTCATATGGGTAACTATACTGATACTGAACAGAACCGGCAGTATTGGTCAATGATGGCGGCCGGTGTACGACTGGACGATGAACTGAAATGGAGAGAACTGATTGTCCGTATGCCTTGGTTTGTCCAAAAGTTGGCCAACTGGGCTACGGGTGTCGATTTGGACAAATCGTTCGGTGAATTAGAACGACTGATCAGCGGCTATGTTGTCCAGAGATTAGAAAACGGCCAAAACGGTAGCGCCGACACTAATGATGATGACGATGGCGACTACAACAATGATAAATATAGTGGTAACGAAAATCTAGATATTGTCGGTATTTATTTGAAATTAATTGATGGAAAAGGTAATTAAGTTTTTGTTTTATTTTATTTTAATTATCTTATTATTTTCTAATTGATAACTTTTAATTAATTAATTAGTTAAGTTAATTATTATAAACTTTTTATTTTTTAAATATTTATCGATAAATAAATTAAAATAATTTTAATTTTATATTAGTTAAATTAGTTAAAAATTAATTATTATTATTATTATTAAATATTTTATTTAATTATATGTACAGTTAGTGTATCGGATCCGTTGGCTATTCAAGTGATGTCCTACTATTTGATTGTCCAGTTTATAGCCTTATTTGGCAGTACTAGCGACGCACTGTGCGAAATAGTCATGCATTTGGCCCGTTATCCCAGTGTCCAACAAAGACTATACGCCGAAATAGTGGAGGCATTAGAKAACGGGGAGTACTTGGATGGAGAGGACGGAGAGGATAGTCGACGGAAAATATCGTACGATGCGCTGACACACTTGCCATACATGGAAGCCGTAATTAAAGAGTCGTTCCGTATAAATCCCAATGCCGTACGATTGCGTCGGGTATTTGCCGGCAGTCCGGACAGCGAAGCCGCAAAAGTATTTCCCGGTTACCAATTGCAACAGGGTGATCGTATTGATATTTCCGTATCGGCCATACATATGTCCGACGAACTATTTCCCGATCCGTACGAATTTTATCCCGACCGATTTTTGGATCCCGACAATATTAATCGCTGGTCTAATTTGGACGCCAATGCACTGTTGTCTTTTGGCCTGGGACCGCAAATGTGTTGCGGCAATCGGCTGGCAATTTTGGTGGTCAAATCATTTTTGTCGCATATGATCTACAATTATMAGTTTTGTTTGCCGCAAATCGATGATCTTTATCGGCCAAAATTGTGTGAAGCACACGACATACCCATCAATATCTATCAATTGAAATGCTGTATTCAACATAGAATTCAAAAATAATTCAATAGAAAAAATATGGGTTGAAAATAGGGTAAAATAAAGGGGTGGGTGGGAAAAGGTGGGGGTGAGGTCTTAAAGTGTAATGTAATGATATTTGTAATATATTAATAAACAATATATAAATTTTATATCAATATTATATTTTATATACAGTATATATAGTATAATACATATGTTATATACTATTATCATATATTAATATAATCCAGTATTAATTATTATTATTATTATTAGTTAGATTGTAATTATTAGTTTTTATTTTAATTTTATTTGTTAAATTAGAATTTATTTAATTAACTTATTAAATAATGTACTAACAAATTACATTGTTAAACATTTTCTAATTTTTTAAAAATTTAATAGTTTATTTTTATGTAATAATTTTAAATATTTAATTCACGAAACTATATTAATATATATTTTTTATTTTTTTTTATTGATATATAGCTGTTTATTATAAATTATAACTTATAATAATTAAATCTATATATTTATATTATTTAATATACTGTATTAGTTATATTAGTTTAGTATTATTTTTAATCTCAAAATCAATAAATAATTATAAAAWWTTTTTAACTAATTATTACAATTATTCCTCTATTTTTGTTTGTTGGCCAAAACGGTCAATCATTTACGACAGTCGGCCACAAACTGCGGCACAATTTATACCTTATTTTTAGGGCCTAATTGTTACGCCGGAGGACACATCAGGTTGTTTGTACCGCTGGTTAGATATAAAATAATAATAATAATAATAATAATAATAATAATAATAATAATAATAATAATAATAATAATAATAATAATAATAATAATAATAATAATAATAATAATAATAATAATAATAATAATAATAATAATAATAATAATAATAATAATAATAATAATAATAATAATAATAATAATAATAATAATAATAATAACTTGCTAAAACTTACAAATAATTAAATTGTAAGTAAAGTTTCCAAATAAAATTTCTAAGTTTTAATAAAGTAAAATTTTTAATATTTTGCTAGAATTATTTTCAATTTATTTTTAATAAAAAATACAATAACTAAAAGTAACATGTTTATTCATATTAGGGGTCGTATATGAAATAATTTGTTGTCGTTAAGATTATCTAATATATAAAATAATAGTTATTTATACTATTATATTTAGTATATATTTATTATTATTATATTATTATTTATTTATTTTTTATATATTATAAATTATTATGAATTTAAAATATTTATTTAGTTAATAAATTATTATATTTAAACGTTATAATAATTGTAGAGTTCGGTTTATTATATTAAAAAAGGGGGGGTTTAATATTTTATAATTTTATATACAATATCTACCTGTTTCTAACAATTAACCCCCCCTTCTCTCCCCTGTATTCAGTAATTTAATGACATTATTAAAAAGGTTTAATATTTTATAATTTTATATACAATATCTACCTGTTTCTAACAATTAATGTATTCAGTAATTTAATGACATTACAAAAGCTAATTTTTTATTGTCTGTACCAATAAAAACCAAGTGATTGAATGAGTTAATGAATTAGTTAATGATTCAGATAAAAATTAAGAGAAATTTTTTACTAAAAAATTATCATATACAGTAAATAACTAAATATTTTTTTCCATAAAAATTATTATATACAGTAAATAACTAAATATTTTTTTCCATAAAAATTATTATATACAGTAAATAACTAAATATTTTTTTCCATAAAAATTATTATATACAGTAAATAACTAAATATTTTTTTCCATAAAAATTATTATATACAGTAAATAACTAAATATTTTTTTCCATAAAAATTTTAATACAATTTTTTTAAAAAATATATTTTAATTATTTAGCTATTTTTGTTGTTGAGTACACTGTATGCCCACTGAACTAAAAACACTTATTTAGTTAATTAGTTACTATTATTATTATTATTATTTTACACAAAAATGTTGGCCGATCTCTATGACCTAATCTGTACTATCGATCGTACAGTTTATATAACTGGTTCCATATCGACAACTGTTGTCATACTAATTGCTTATTTGACATATAAGCTATATATGCCCAGCGATTTGCTTGCTGTAAATATTTTTAATAAACTAGATTTTTTTTAACAAAATTAATTTAGTTTTTTTTAATACTAAGTCTGTTTTAATACTATACATATAATAGGATATGAGTTCAAAACAATGGAATCCACGACAATTGGACAGGTATTCAGAGGATGAACTACCGCTACCCCAACCATTCGGTTGGTTTGCAGTGTTTGACTCGTGGACATTGAAACCAAATGAGGCCAAACCTGTATCGTTGTTTGAACACCAGTTGATTGTATACAGAAATATGTCCGGTTTGGTGCACGTGCTGGAAATATGTGAAAATTGTACAAACATTTAAACAATTAACACACACATACACATAAAATTAGATTATTTTGTTATATAATTAAACTTGACCATGTTAATTATTTTATTTTTTTTAATAACAATAGCAAACTCAATACCAGACATAGAGACCCGTGTTTGGCAGTCCATGGAAATGGATAATCTGATTATGGTTTGGTATCATCCGAATAACCAGAAGCCAGATTGGCTACCGTTTCCCATGAAGTTAATGGTTGACAACACATTTGAATATAGAGGAAAATGCAATCTAATTGCCAATTGTTGTATCCAGGTATAATACAATTTTTTTTTAAATAATTAATTTACAGATATATACTATATATACAAAAAAAGTTAGATAGATTATTTATTTATTCTAATGAATTTATTAATTTTAGTTTTTATATTTCACTTAATGTTAGGAAAAATAATTATTCAAAAAAATTTTTTTTTAAATACTAAAGTTTAGTAACTAAACTATCAATATATAAAAATTACAGTATTTTATATTTAAAATAATATAGTAGTTTATATAAACAATAAAAAATTATAGGAGTTTCCCGAAAATGCTGCCGATTTTGCCCATTTCAACACGGTACATTTGCCTACTGAAGTACTCGGTATTGTCAAATGGAAAGGTATGGGCGCCAAACTGTGGGACTGGATTACCAAACATGTCTATTATAAATGGACACCACTTAGCTATGATGTCTATCCGTCACCCAATGGACACATGTCTATCCAGATTACTAGTGCTACCTATCATGCATTTGGCCGGATATTTGCCGAATTTACTATCGATATGTTACAAATAGGACCGGCTTTGGCTCACGTGACCACCAAATACACACTGTTTGGTATGGATTTTACAACAATACTGGTGACCACTGTTACCCCATTAGGACCCTATCGTAACAGTTTCTGTCACAGACTTTATATGAAACCGGGATTTTTGAGACGTGTTTTCGCAAAAATATTTATCAAAACTGTTGACATTATGGTATAGAACTGAATAATAATTTTTTTTTTTGAATAATTAATTAATTAATACTAGAGAGTTGTATTATATTTAAAAAAATATATTACAATTTATTTTTTTAATATAATTTGATTTTTATGTACATCTGAATTAATTGATTAATGAATCAATGATAATATTAAAATGATAAAACTTAAAATATTTTTTTTTTAAAAATACTAGTTGTCACGTGACGTACTGATTTGGAACGACAAAAAATACTTACGAAAACCATTGTTTACGAAAAATGAGAACAGCTTGGTCAAATTTAGACGATGGTATAAACAATTTCTAATTAATGATCATGATGATTAAATATATTATTATAGATATATTATCTATATGCATTTTGAAATTTAAGACAATATAAGACAATTTAATTAATAATTTTAATTAATTATAATTGTATCTAGTATAATTATTATTTGATTTTATTTGTTAATTTTTTTGTTGTAAATTTTTAATATTTTAATAATTATTTTTAACAATCTAAATTAATTAAAGTCTGTAGTAAACAATTTATATTAAAATAAATATGTTTTTTAGTGATATAAAATTTTTATATACATAATAATTGTTGTAATTTAATATTAAAAATTAATTTATTGATTTTACTGGATGCAAATTTTTATAAATATTTTAGTTTTTATTATTAAATTAATAGTTAGTATTTAATTAATAGTTATTAGTAATTATAATTAAATAGTTCATTAAGTTGTAAATATTAAGTTGTTAACTAAATTGAGTAAAATAAAACATTTACAATGTAAAATTTTTTAAAGTTTTTTAAAAAAATTACTAATAATTATTTCAAATTGTTTAAACGTGTATAATATTGATGAATAATTAATTTGTATAAAGTAAAATTACTATTTTTCTATAACTTTTTATTATTATACATTACAATTTTTTTATTAATGTTTTTACATCAAAAAAAACTTATTATCTTAAAATCATATTATAAATTTTAATAATAAAATTGCTTTAATAAAATTATGCAATAAAAACTAAAATTATAATCATTGATAATTCATTTTGAAAATTTTTATAGTATAGTAGTTTAAAATTTAATATTTTCTCTTAATTTAAATCCTAAATTCAGTGATTTTGGTAGCAAAATATCGGGACATCGATTGAATATAAACGGGATTTCCGTACTGTCGGCAACTTTGAACTCAAATGTTTTGATCAGTTTAGCCAAAGCATGTTTGAGCACAACTTTAGCAAACCGTTCGCCGACACAGTAGACCACTTGTCCGCAACCAAATGGTATGAACGAGTGCTGTGTTTGATTGTCGACCGCCGGCGCCATAAAGCGGTCCGGATTGAAGTCATACGGATCGGTAAAGTAACGTGAGTTGTGATAAAGCGATATAAACGATAGCTCGACGTCAACACCTTTGGGCACCGTTACGCCGGCATCGGGCAAAAAGACGTCCTCTTTAGCCCGTCTATTGGTCAACGGCAGCGGGTATTTGCGCAATATCTCCATCAGTACTGCATTGAGAAACGGTAGCTCCAAAATGCTTGAGTCGTCGTTTGTGACCAACATATCAGCGGCTATCAGTTCGTCATACAGTCTGCTCTGAACTAACGGTTTCATTGCCAACTCATAGACTGCCATCATTAGCATCAGACACATGGGCTCATAACTGGACAAATAGCACACATAGAATAGGCTTACGATCTCATAGTCGGTCAGCTCTTTATCGGCTGCTTTGTTGTGTCGGTAGTCAAGAAAAAGTTGTAAAAAATCTTTAGATTTATCGGCAAAACCGTTGTTGTCAATCAATTGTCTGCGTCTATGACCAACCATTTTGGTGATACTGTCTATAAAATATTGTTGTTTTTTGCCAAACACTTTCCCGTACGCAGCGATCATGTATTCGGTTAGCCGAGGGATTAACACTGAGGTCAACAATAGCCGTCGATTTTTGTCAATTTGTGGCGCGCTTTCGATAAACTGGTCAATCGATAGGTTTAGTTCGGAAAAACTGGTCGGAAACGAGCACTGAATCATGATCTTCATAACCAACTCTTGCATGACATGCCTTACGTTTACAATACCGTCTGCTGGCAAATGGTGGTCAACATAATTGGCCATAAATTGTCGGCAAACAGTTTCGGTACTCTTTTCGATGAGTTTCATGTTTTCCGGTCTAAACAGTTGGGCCAACACAACCATACTGTACTTGTTATGTACAGACATATAGAGCCGATAATCGGTCATATGTTTGATAACATACGAGTCTCTCATTCGCGGAAATTTGTTGGCATCGGTACTCAATATCTGGTAAATACTGTTTGGCTCAGATATGATCAGTTCGGGCCGCGAGAAACGATATGTGCTATTAATTAATATAGAAATAATATATTAATAAGTATTATAATAAATAATACTTTTAAAAACAATTTTTTTAACTTAATAATAGTATCATAAAACATAATTAATATAAATTATATGAGTATAAAATAATCATGAATTAATTTTTATAAAATAACTAAAATTGTACCCGATAACATTGCCAAACTTGTTAAACCATGATAACAATTGTTGTGAATGATGTCCTAAAACAGTGTGCAAATAGTTGCCATATATTGGTATGGGTTTGGGACCAGCGATTCCACGCAATTTCCAATAATTAAAATATAATATGTATTGACTGTAATTTTAAAATTTAAATTTATAAAAATTAATAATATTAATAATGATTATAATGAGAATAAGACTATTGATAAAACATTAAAAATTAGTAATTAAATATTATCAATTTTGTGTAAATTAAAATCCAATACTAACAATATTATATAAGTTAACAAAATAGTAATAATTATAAAAAATAATTTATCAATATTATTGTATAACAGACTAATAGCGTTATTAATAATTGCCATTATATTGTCGATAGAAAAAATATTAATAAATATGAAGAAAACTAATTATTATTAAATAAAATATAAATTTTTTTTATTGATAATATAAAAATATTTTATTATAAACTAAACAATGTTTTAAGAAAGTTTTTAAAAATATAAATTTGAATTCATCTATTAATTTTGCAAACAATATATAGTATATATTTATTTAATTCTAATAAATTTTTGAATCATTAAAAAGCATTTTTATAAACTTTTTATGAAAAATAACATTAAACGGAATGACAGTACAACTAAAAAATGACTAAAAAGTTATGTTTTGATTTACTTAAGTAAAAAAGTTTAGTTTTAAAAAATCAATAATAATTTTTATAAATAATCTAATTTATTTACATTTTATTATAAATCTTCACAAATAATTTTTAAATACATAGAAAGTAAAAAAATTATTAATATTTTTAAAACAAAAATTAAATTATTTTTATTTTGTTTTATTTTCAATTTATTTTTCAGTATTCTATTATCATATTTATACAAAAATTGTTTAATTAATTATTAATTAAAAAAACAATGAAAATTAATAAATTTTTAAGTAGAGATAAATCTGAATTATAAAAATTTTATAGTAGTTAAAGCTATATGTTATTCATTATTTATGATAAAAAATAAAAATCTACTTAGAATTTCAAGATTCGCAATATATTTGATTTATTTGACTTATAATTGATTTTAATTTAACTTTTAAACAAACCTATAATAAAAGTGTATTAATTGTTAAAATTTAACACAATTGATAATTGCAATTAATTAATTGATCATTGTTTTAATTTTTTTTCTCTCTAAATTTATAATTAAATACACATAAATTTGATATAATAATTATATTAATTTTTATTTAATGTCACAATATATACTAGCTATATATAAATTATATAATACAGTAAATACAAAAAAAATATTTTTTTAAATTATAATATAATATTTATTAATATTAATAGTTTTTAATATACTAATGTACTAGATTAAATTGCCATAATTGATTGAATTACTTAGTGAAATTTTTTTAAATAAATTTAAATAATCTTTAATTTTATTTAATAGATATCATAATGTATTAATACATTACAATTTACTGAGAAATACTGTATAACAATTTAATAATTATCATTACTACTTAGTTAATCTAATTTATTTTTAATTAAATTATTATAGTAAATTAACATTTAACATTAAGTTTTAGTATGTGTTTTATATATTTTTTTATAAATATATATTATTAACTTTTAATTTTAAACAGATATACTGTAATATTTGTAATTATTTCGAGTTTATTTTACTACTATTTTTCTAACTTAATAATAATAATAATACTTAAATAGTTTGCCAAATTAAAATTTTAATAATATTTATACTAACAAATTAATAAGTAAATTTAAACTTAATCTCATTATCAATGAATTTTAATTGTCTAAAATATAAAAACTTATTATTAATATTGAAATTAATTAAAAATACTATTAAACTACTTAACAATCAATCAATACTATACAAACAATCTTAACTACTAAAAATTGTGTTCAATAATAATTGCTTTTATACTAGATAAATTTTTATTTTTAAATAAGTACTGTATTAAATACAGTATATTAAAAGTTTATATGATTTATATATTATTATTATTATTATAATTATAGATTATTATCATTATTACTATTATAGATTATTAATTATTAGTATTTATTTAGGTATTAATGAAATTTTAAACTCTTTTGGACTCAACGTAAATGTAATGCTGGGATCAGGACTCAGATCCGTATTAGTGTTCAAAACAATATCAAAATTTTTAGTCGATTGCAACAATCGGACCAATAAAATAAATAATACGTTTAACGATAGACTAATGGCAACACATTTGCGTCGACCGAAACCAAACGGTATGAACGTTGCCGACGAAACAGTAGTTACATAATGGCCGTCAGCATCGAGAAAACGTTGCGGACAAAAATCATGGCCACTGTCTGACCAATGGATTGGATCGCATGATATCAATCCGAGTGCCACCGAAACACGTGTACCACTTGGGATGTTATAGTTTCCTGGAAAACGATTTATTTTTTTAAAATAAAAAATAAAAATTTAAATATATTTAAAACTATTAATAATAATAATAGTTAAAATGATCTAGTACCAATGTTACAATTAGCCATTGTTTCGTGAATAGCACCAAATGGATTGGGATTACGAAAGCGTAGACTTTCCGTAATAAATGCCATCACATAATGGCAACGATGTCTGTCATCAAAACCGGGCAATTGATCGCCAATTTCTTTTGAAATTTCTTGCCTTAATTTTGTCTGTATTGACGGATAATAAGCGACAAACAATAGCAGCCATTGAAATGAATTGTAAAAAGCGTCGGCGCCGTCATAGGACAGGTTGTAGACAGTCATCGCCAGATTCTGGTCAGTCATGTGTTCATATTTTATACTATTTTGTTGTTTTGCCCACAATTTTGCCGAAATCATTGTATCGCAAAAGTCTCGTTCAATTGTCGGTTTGAAATCGATGTAATGTTTTTGAAATTTTTTCATTAATAGATTACATAATTCTTCGGTTACTTTATTAAATTTATTAACCATTTTATAGTCCAGCCATCGAAATATCGGTGAATAATCCCATAATATATAATAGGATCCCATTTCATTGAAAAAATCGCGTACAATATATTTGATTCGATGTAATTCACCATCATCAATTTCATAACTATTTATTAATCAATATAAAAATAAAACTTATTATTATAATAAATTAGTTAATTGTATTTAACTGTAATTGTAATTAAACTATATATTTTTTTTAAATCTATCATAATCTATGTTAGCATTTTAACATATAGTAAAACTGCTTGTTAACTAATAATACATTAATAAATTACTGTAATATTTGTATATTTTATTTGTAACATTGTATTTTACAAAACATATATATTTAATATTTTTAAAAATATTTTCATTTATTTAAATATAATTTATTCAATATATCCTAATAACTTACTTATCTCCAAATCCAAAGTTACTAAATATGTTTAAACACATCAAATACATGTAATCTAATGGCATAAATGCATGATTTGGTCCCTCAGTATTCAATATTTTTTGAAAAGTTTTATCCACACAATCAATGATTTTGTTTACAAAAGTTTCATTTGTCGCATATTTTCTAGTAATCAACAACAACATGATTAAAATCAATTAATTATTTAACATAAATAATATCATAAATTAAACAATAAATTATTAAATATTTTTTTTAAATTACTGCAATGTTGTGTGCGCTAACTGTCTTAGCGTTTCAAGTGTTGGACTATAATTGCCAAATGTTATGTCTGTATAGCTATCGTTTGAGAGATGGTTTCCTATTAAAGTTAAAAATAATTTTTAAAAAATAATAATTTATAAATACTATATTAATGTTATATTTAGTAAACCTATGTATGATTTGGGTCGACCGGAAAACTCGACTTTCTTAAGCGTTTTGCGCGCGACATCCAAATCGGTAACAAAAATATGCGGTTTGTGACCAAAAAATACGGTAAATACGGGGCCATACTTCTGGGACAACTCATTGATTACATATTCAAAATGTTGTTTTGATTTAAACACTTTATTTTTTTATATATGTATAAAAATAAATATAAAAATACATTAAATATATTAATTAACACTTACTGTATATTGATAAGAATATTATAAACATAAATTTATATTTATTTAATATTGTTTATTATTTCATTGTTTTGTACAATACTATAATTTGTCTTTATAAAAAATGAGTTATTATTTGATTTTTACTTACATAAAACATTACCCAAAATAGGTAATGGAAATGGACCGGGAGGTAAACAGTAATATCGGTAATATAAGTTAACAATATTATATGTTATAAACAAAATTAATAAAATTAATAGTGTTTTAAAATAATATTCAGTAATCAGATTAACGAATAACATTGAAAAATGCATATTTTATAATAATATTTTAAATAAAAACAAATAAATGGTTAAAAAAATTAACATAAGTTAGAAAACTAATTTTCCATTTTAAATAAACTTTAAATACTTATTTTATAAATCTAAAACTATTGTAAAAATATTAAAATTGTAATTAAACAAAATGACAAATAAAATTTGAGTATGAGTATGTATGTAATACACACTATGAGTGTGTATGTATGTAATACACACTGTGTGTGTGTGTGAATGTGCACTTTTTTTAACTACAACTTTTTTGTTAACAAAATATTTTTTTTTAAAAAATTAATTATAAAATTAATAAAACACTAGTATATAATATATCTGTATAATGTATCTGATATACTATTGTATATGAATATATCAATAGAAAGATATAGTATATTTAAAATAAAATATAGAAATTGATAAATACGGTAACAGCTAGTTAAGATAAAAAATATTTGATATATCATTATATAATACATTAAAAAAATATCTGTTTTATTATAGTAACTATGAAAATATATATAAAATATTTTTGTTGGAAATTTTAGCCTGCTTTTTGAATTTTATTATTTAAAATTTTGTTATTATTTTTTAAAAAAAATTATATATTTCTAATGTTGATAACAAAGAATAAATTTGTAACAATAATAATTGAATATTTTTTTTTTAAAAGTTATCTATAAAATAGAAAAAAATTATCACATATACTATTGTAAATAATTCTTATTAAGTATTAGTTTTTTTAATTAAATATAGTTAATACTGTTTTAGTTGATATCATATTAATAATTATTATTAACAATATTTCCATTTTTTATATGTTGTATTGTTATACAGAGATAAAAATATTTATATTAATTTAATTCATTATTCTATTTAATATATACTTTATTTTTTATTTTTAAAAAATGTTTTCTTTATAACAATAATTATAATATTCAGTTTAAATAGTTTAAATCTAACATATTTTTATTATTTAATAAGTATTATCCTTATTATAATTAAACTTTATATATAAATTTATTTTAATTAAAATCTTGGATAAACTAAATTTTTTAAATACAATGTTTGTTGTATTCAAATTATAAATTATCTAAAAATAATAATAATATTAATTTAGTATTATTTTTTTAAAATTACATATAATATATCAGAGAAAAATATTTTACTTGAATATATATTTTTGCTATATAATGACTCAATGACAAAATAAAAAAGTTTTAAAATTTAGCATTAATATTGTAATAATAATAATAATAATAATAATTTTTAAGAATCTTAATAATTTTAATTAATAGACTTATTGAATAATATTATAGAAAGAGATAGTTATCCAAAATATTAAATAAAATAAATTTAGTTATAAAGTTTGATTATATTAAGATAAAACTGATTAAATAATAAAAATATATCAGATTTTATTTAAAGTTTAATTAAAAAACTATTTAACTATTGTATTAAAAAAAACTATAAAACTGTATAATATTTTATTTGTTTTTTTAAAATCCAATGTTTGTTGTTTTCAAATTACAAATTATCTAAAACTAAAATTAATATTAATTCAGTATTATTATTATTATTAAAAATCTAACTTATTAATAAAAATTGATAATAAAAAAATAATTAAATATTTATCAATATTATTAATTATTAAAATATTTTAAGCTATCGATTGGACACCAATAGGAATGTCATCGTAGACATAGTGTTCAAAATGTGGCTTAAATTTGACGGGAACTGGTGTTTCGGGTAATCTATAGAATCGAAATCGACGAATAGTTTCGGCTAAAATCACTTTTAGCTCCAATAATGCCAAACGTTTGCCAATACAATTGCGCGGACCGTCGCCAAAGGGCAGGTAAGTATACGGTTGGATAGTGTCTCGGTTAGTACCGATAAACCGGTCGGGCCTATAGACTTCAGGATCGTCAAAATATTTACTATCGTAATGCAGAGCATAGGTCGGCACATTGACTACCGTTCCTCTAGGAACTAGTGTATCGGTACCTTCCAGTACAATGTCGTCCATTACCTCCCGTTGCAACAAAAATGCCGGATATTTACGTAAACCTTCGCAAACACACGCATCGAGAAACGGTAGCTTTTTAACGGTCTCATAGTTGATATTCTCCACTTCGTCCGTACCGTTAGTATTGACAAAGTGTTCGTTAATCTCATCTCTGAGATTGTCCTGTATTTGAGGATTCAGTGCCAACTCGTAGATAATTAGTGTCAACTTTGTAGACACTGTATGATAGCCGGCAAACAGTAATACTAGACATAAGTCAACTATTTGGTCATCAATGGTATCTGTGTTTTGCTTAAGATTAGCTCTATATGTTCCGCTAGATTTGTCGTGTTGTTCACTCTGTGCACTGAATTCAATCAGTATATCAATAAAACGGTCGGATCTGTTGGCTGGAGAAGCATTGGCAGTGTTGGCATTAGAGATCCTGTTCCTTCGTTTTTTGATAATATTTCGTATAAAAGCGGCAAACACTTCGTCGTGCGGCTCGTTTTGGACGCCCAACCATTTTGTTAGTCGTGTCCACAAATTGACTATCGGTGGCGGCAGAGCATTGCTAACCACAAACATCAGCCACGACATGTGTGTCAGACAATTGATATGTCGGACAATTTCGGCTCTTCGGTGGCCATCGACAGCCATATCGGTATCGTCGACACCGAATACGGCAACCAATATGATGTCTAGTATAAGATCTTTGACACAATCACTCAGTGCTATTTTGTTACCGTTATATAAGGACTTATCAGTTAAATGTCGGCTGAATCGGTCGACACACGGCTTCAATGCCGATGTTGTCCACCGTTTCAATTGTCTGGTAGTAAACATTGGTGTCAACGATCGGCGCATTTCGTGCCACTCGTCCCGACGCGGATTTATATTGTAAACATTTTCGGCATTTCGGTCGTCCAAACGGTTCGGTTTGAAGCGTACGTCCGTCGACTCGGTAACCAATACCTGACGTATATGTATCGGATCGCTGATCACAAGCTCCGGTCCATAGAAACGATATATACTATCAAATCGAAAGATTATATCAAAATTGTATTTTTTTTATTAATTTAAAATAAAAATATTTATTATTACTGAACAACATATCTATTTTTGTTAAATAAATAATTAATAAAATGAAAAAGTCTGTAATATACCCGAAAATAGTGCCATATTTTTTATACCATTCAATGGACAGTTGATTAAATGGTCGGTAAAATGTTGGAAATAGATTGCCATAAAATGCTATTGGTTTGGGACCCGTTATGTTATGTTTGATCCAAAATTTTAAGCGATCATCAGCAAATAGATTTCTACAGTTATAATATTTAATATTTTATAATAATAATAATAATATAAAAATATTATTATATTAAATTTGCTAGTTTAATATATTTGTTTTTATAAAATAAATGAAATAATATATATATATTAATACATACGTATATCGATTAATAAAATTTAGTACAATTGCTAACACAATAATAGTAGCAATTAATATCATCAACATTTTTGTTGTTGTAATCCTATTAATTAAAATTTTAAAAATCTATTAAATTTAAATCTATTTTATTACTTAATTACTTTAATCTATAAATATATTTATAATTTACTAATAAGTAAAAAGTTTATAGAAAATAAAAATATTAAGTTATTTAGAAAATTAACAACTAAATAGTTTTTTAAAAAAAATATTTTTAGCAAATAAAAGTCTGTATAATTTATACATACAATATATAAGAGAAAAATATTTTACTTTTACTAATATTTTTACTTTGAAAATATATATAAATTTTTTTTGCTATATAATGACTCAATGACAAAATTAAATAGATTTTTAAAAATTTAATATTAATATTGTAATAATGAAAATAATAATTTTTAAGATACAAGTAAAATAAACAAAAATAATTTTTATTAATAGACTTATTGAATAATAGAAAAAGATAGTTATCCAAAATATTAAATAAAATAAATTTAGTTATAAAGTTTGATTATATTAAGATTAAACTGATTAAATAATAAAAATATATTAGATTTTAGTTAAAGTTTAATTAAAAAAACTATTTAACTATTGTATTAAAAAAACTATAAAAACTGTATACTATTTTATTAGTTATGATAAACTTTAACTAATTAAATATTTATAATCAAATTATTTCTAATTTATAAATAAATAACTTAACTAATTCATTATTTAATTATTTTTTAAAATATAATATTTATTAATTTTACAGTATTTTTTTTATAAAATCATTTGTAATTTAAGTTATAATTACACAACACTTTTTTACACTTTTTAATTTGCAATATATTAAAGATCCCCTCAAAAACTGTAATATTTTTATCAATGATTTCAAAACATTTAGTATTGAAAATGTTTTGACTATTTATCCAAAAAAAAAAAAATAATTAATTAATTAATTTTGTATTGAATTTGATTATTGAAAACAATGGTTAAGACTAGAAAAAGTATCACCAAAAGTGGTCCACCAATTGAGGACAGCGGCGGCGGCGGCGGCGATGGCCATGACTTCGGTAACATTGATATTATCATCGATGAGTTGGTCGCCGATAAACAAAAACTTGTCGATGTGTTGAACCAATTGAAAAGTTTTATGCAAACAATTCATACAAAATACGAGACAATGATTGCCGAGGAAGACATCAATAAGTGGCTGATACTGAAACAATCGGTGGACACAACTGTCGAGGAATGCAATCGAAGTAAAACAAGAGTTGAAACAAATGAAATGATTGTTAATCCGGAATCAAATGATGTCAGCAAACAATCGGATAATAATAATAATACTGTTCACGAGGTCGACAACGATGAAGACATTAACAAACAAGTGGTCAGAAAACAACCGGTCGTAAACCCGCATCGGTGTCCACACACCGATTGTGGCAAACGGTTTAAAACGAAATCCAGTCTAACTGTTCATTGTTCGCGATATCATCCGAACCTATTGTCAAACACGTGTCGCGTTTGTCACAAATCATTCAAAATTGTACGCGTTTTTCGCGCACACATGAAAATACATGACTCGTCGTCGACGACTACGACACCGGTGACCAACAAATATCAGTGCCCGGAGTGCGGAAAGTCGTTCAAAGGCAGCCGTACTCTTGACAAACATTGCAAAAGTTTACATCAGTTAGTGTTAGCCACCAATACTGGCCACCAAACAACAACAACTACCGATAAGTTTGTAGCCGTCGCCACCGCCGCTGTCGACAATAACATTGCTGTTGATAATGAACTGGTGATATTTGGCCGAAACAATTTTGATCCGAAAACCGGTCAATACATATGTCCAGACGCCGGATGCGAACTGCCGTATAGCAGTGCAAAGACATTGTTTAAGCATTTTAAGGACATTCACGACATCGAAGACGTAGCCGACGATCAAACTTTTGTCGAAAACGATGAAATCTATGGCGATTCTGATCCAAAACTACTGTTACTATTGAAACAAAACAACTTTGACGCCGAAACCAGACGATATCGGTGTCCATTTCCCGACTGTGACCGCACGTACGCAACGGCTCGCAATCTGAAGCTTCACTTTCACGTTAATCACTACAAACACAACTATCGGCCGTTTGTTTGTCGACATCCCGACTGTGGCAAAGGTTTTACGCGTAATTCACTGCTCAAAGAGCATATGGTCACACACGACACTGACCGACAGCGTGGCTACCAGTGCTCTGATTGTGACAAATCATTTTACAAAGAGTATCTTCTCAACCAACACGTCCAGTCCAAGCACTTGCAAGTAATGATCTATAAGTGCGGTTTCAACGACTGTCGCCAAGTATTCGGTGCTCGTCGTCTACGGGAAGATCATCGCCGAAGTATCCATAATGTAAAGTACGCGATACGCTATCGACCGGATAAGTATGTTTGCCAGTGGCCTGGATGTGACTATCGGTGCGGATCATCGGGTAATTTGCGTAATCATCAGCGCATACATACTGACGAACGGCCGTACGAATGCCAGTGGCCACAGTGCGGCAAACGGTTTCGTACTAAAGGCGAGTTCAGACAACACGAGATATGTCACGAAAATTTGAAACCCTATGTCTGTCAATGGCCCGGATGTGAGTACAGGGGTAACAGTAGTGGCAATTTGTCGGCCCATAAAAAGATACACAATCGGCCTAAACAAGTGGGTAATAGACGTAATAATAATAAAAATAATAATAAAAACATTTAAAAGTACACATTATATTGTATACTGTATTATACGGTATTTTTTTAAGAAAAAGCAATGAATTTATTGATATTAAATTCATTAATTAATAGTTGTATTATATATTTTGTAATATCTAAATGTTTTGTATTTATATATTTTTTAAAAAAATTTTGATTACAAAAAAAACAAAAGTTTTTAAGTTATATAATGTATTTCAATTTTTTCTGTAAATCGTAATCTTTTTACGATATATATTAATATATAATTTTTTTATATAATTATAATTTTCTAGCTATAAATTAATTAAAATTACAATAATAATATATTTTGCAATAATAATAGATTTGTTGTGTTAAAAAAAGTGAAAAACTATTAAAAAATATGTTAATTTCATTATATTAAAGATCCCTTTAAAAAAAATTTAGTGAATATTTGTTTACATTATGTGTTTGTTATTATTTATTCAAAAATAAATAAATAAAAATATTTTGTTTATATTTTATCATAAACTGTATGAAAGTTGTATTATATTTATTAATTGTATTTATATTTTGTTTTAAAAAAATGTTTATTGAATTCAATTGATAATCATTTGGTAGACACACACACATGACATATGGTTAGGACAGAGTAGTAATGGACAGATCAGCTGATCCGACAAAAATGTTTGGCGTCATTGTCGACGAGGACAACGACATCGGCATTGAAATCAATGATTGTTTTGATGAACTGTTGGCCGAAAACAACAGACTTGTCGACGAGTTGTTGTCAGCAAAGAATTGTTTATCACAAATGACTGATCACATGGCATGGATTCACAAGACATACGAAGCAATTATATCGGCTGAAGATTGTGCTAAATGGCAAACACTGAGAAAATCTGTGGTAACGACTATTAGTGACATCAATTCAATGAAAACAGATGTGAAAAGTCGGGAGGAGAAGGAGGAGGAGCCAAAAGATTGCCAACAATTCAGTAAAACTAATGATGATTGTGTCCGGGAAGACAATAGCCGATTGTTGGCGCCCTCACTGCCGTCTACCTGTCCAACAACAACTACAACAACAACAATCCCGAAAAACCTCAATACTAGTCATATGAACTCAAGTAAATCGGATGTTCATCAATGCCAGCGTCGGCTATATATGTGCCGATACAAGGGTTGCAGCAAACGGTTTAAACTGAAAAGTCATTTATCTCTTCATTCATCGACCTATCACTCGATGACTAACCAATCAACAGAAGACACCAACAACAACATGAGTTGCGATGTCTGCCACAAGACGTTCAACACAAAGACACTGCTCAACAATCATCTGAAGACACACTATGTCCGACGTACGAAATACCGGTGCTCTGAATGCGGAAAATCGTTGTCCACTAAACGCTATCTGCGAATACATCAGCGAACAGTTCATCTGATTGTACCGAATGATGACACACCCGACGAGGTTCCCGATTCAGTAGAACCGGATCCTGAGACCGCAAAGTTTATACAATCTCATTACGACCAGAAAACACAGTTATACTATTGTCCGTATCGCGGTTGCGGCAAACCGTACGCCAAGTTGTGGACAGTCTATAAGCATATGTTGGCAACTCATCCGCCGCAACAAAATTGTGCTGACGATTGGTATCAAAATAATACTGGTTTCGACAATTCTGTTACCGTCGGCGGCAACGATGATGTCGATGATTGCCAGCCGAATCAAAATTTGCTGCTATTGTTGAAACAAAACAATTTCGATGACAAACAGCAACGATATTTGTGTCCATTTCCCGGATGTGTCCGCAAATATGTTGACAATTTTGCACTGAAATATCATTTTCAAATGTCTCACTATAAACCCGATTCTAAACCATTTGTTTGTCAGGTGTGCGGACAAGGATTCAAACGAAACTGTATGCTAAAAGAGCATATGTATACACACGATAGGAACCGACAGAAGACATACCAGTGCTCTGATTGTGATAAAGCCTTTTTCAAAGAGTTTCTACTCAAACAACACGTACGGACCAAACATTCAGAAGAGAATGCATTTAAATGTGGTATCAATGGCTGTGAAGATAGATTTTCATCTGTATATCAGCGAAAACTTCATCGACAGTCAGTCCATCAGATGAAGTATGCACTGAAACGACAGCCGGATAAACACCGTTGTCAATGGCCCGGCTGTGACTACCGGTGCGGTTCGGCTACTCAGATGAAAGATCACACTCTTATACATACCGGTGAGCGTCCGTACGCTTGCCAGTGGCCACAGTGTGACAAACGGTTCCGACGTAAAGCCGATATAAAAAAACATGAGATTTGTCATCAAAATCTGAAACCATTTGTGTGCCAATGGCCCGGATGTGACTATCGGGGCAATAGTGTCAACAATTATTATGTTCATCAAAAAATACATAAACGACAACAACTACCACAACAACAACAAATAGTTAATACAATTTAGTGCAATACTTATAATCACATATATAATCAAAATCCTTTGACTAATTATTAAAGTTTTATTTATAGATTTTTATAAATTATTTTTTTTTGTTTTTTGTTTATATTAATATTCATTATTATTATGTTATAATGGTATTAATTTTTAGAAATTTAATTTTAATTGTTTTTTAATTTATTAAATAAATAAATAATACATTGTATATATAAAAATATATAAGATATAAAAGAAAATATATTGCAATATATAAAAGATCCCCAAAAATCTAGTGTTTATTTACATTATTATGTCTATAGAAATAAGTTTATAATAATATAAATTAATTAACAAATTAATAGAATTTCTAAATCAATTGAAAAGTATCACTGAAACGGATCCAATGGTTTGCATAGAAGTTAACGATTTGTTGGATGAAATGATGACTGAAAACAAACGACTCGTCAATGAGTTGTTGTTTGCAAACAATTGTTTGAATTTATTGAATGAATTGAAAAGTTATTTACAAATAATTTACGCGAAATACAAGACAATGATTGCTGAAGAAGACGTCAAAAAGTGGCAAACATTACAAGAATCAGTGGACACAACTGTCGATGAATATAATCGATGCAAACAAATACAGAAGAAGAAGAAGACAGAAAAAGATAGCGATATAAATCAAGAGTCAAGTAGTGGTCAACGATTACAGACATCAGAAACAAGTCTTTCGTGTTCAACAACTGTCACAGCAGTTGATCCGAAACCAATCACTATTGACAATATGGATCCTCTGACAAGTATTGCGTCAAACGGACTATATGTTTGCCGATATAAATATTGTGGTAAAGAGTTTAAAACCAGAAATAGATTTCAAGAGCATATGTCAGTTCATTCGCAACACAAGTGGCCGAACACGTGTCACATCTGTCACAAGAAATTCAAATTTAATAATCTTTTGAGAAGACATATGAAGACACACAACAGGAAAAAATATTTGTTTATTTCAGATGATGGCAATGATGACCAACAATTGGATCAATCTTTACTAAAATTGTTAAAACAAAACAATTTCGATGATAAACAACAACGATATTTGTGTCCATTTCCCGGATGTGATCATAAATATTCGGTAAAGATTGCAATGAAAAATCATTTTTATGAAAATCACTACAAACCAGACTATAGACCATTTGTATGTGAACTGTGCGGACAAGGATTCAAACGAAATTATATGCTTAAAGAACATATGAATGTACACGACGTGAACCGGCAGAAGACATACCAGTGCTCTGAATGTGATAAATCGTTTTACAAAAGCTATGCGCTTAAGGAACACATGTTGTCTAAACACTCGACGGAAAAGTCATTTAAATGTGGTATCAATAGCTGTGAAGACAAATTTCAATCAGTATATCAGCGAAATCTTCATCGACTATCTGTCCATCAAATCAAGTATTCGATGAAGAAAATCAAAGACAGGTATTCGTGTCAATGGCCCGGTTGTGACTATCGGTGCGCTGGAAGGGATCGTCTGGCAGATCATACACGTGTACACACCGGTGAGCGTCCGTTTGTGTGTCAGTGGCCAGAGTGTGACAAACGATTTACTACTAAAAAGGATCTTAAAAAACATGTGATTTGTCATCAAAATCAGAAACCATTTGTGTGTCAATGGCCCGGATGTGACTATCGGGGCAATAGTAGTGGCAATCTGTCGGTACATAAAAAGATACATCAAAGACAACAATAATCTATATATTAATATTTATTTTTTGATTTTATTAAATTGTTTGAAACAAAAAATTTTATTTTATATAATAAAAAAATAATTTGACATTTTTTGAACAATTATTCAATATATAAAAGATCCCCAAATATCTGGTGTTTATTTACAAGTATTAAAAATACTGTAATAAATGTTATGATTATTATTATTATTATATTATAATTTTAATTAAATATTATACACAATAGTTAACAACAAAATGAAAACAAAAASTATCACCGAAACGGATCCARTGGTTTACATAGAAATCAATGATCTGTTCGATGAATTGATTGTCGAAAACAAACGACTCGTCAATGAGTTGTTGTTTGCAAACAAATGTTTGACTGAAATGAAAGATCACATGAATTTGGTTCACAAGAAATACGAACCGTTTATATTCGCAGAAGACATCAATAAGTGGCAGACATTACAACAATCAGTGGACATAACTGTTGAGGAATACAATCAAAACAAACAACTACTGAGTACTGCAATGAAAAGTGATGTAAATCAAGATTCAAGAAGTACTGGACGACGATTAAAGACATCAAAATCAAAATGTATTACAAATCAAATAACAACAACAACTGTCACAACAGCTGATCCATCACAACAACAGAATACGTCTATAGAAAATATTAGTCGACGATTGCAATTAAAATTGATAGACAAAACAGATGATGGTAACGATAATGATGATCACCAATCGGATCAATCGGATAATATTTTACTACAATTGTTAAATCAAAACAATTTCGATGATAAACAACAACTATATTTGTGTCCATTTACTGGATGTGATCGCAAATATTCTTTGAAAAATGGTCTAAAACATCACTTTCATCTGATTCACTATAAACCCGATTATAAACCATTTATCTGTGAACTGTGCGGACAGGGATTCAAACGAAAATTTATTCTCGAAAAACATATTCATATACACGATGTGAACCGGCAGAAGACATACCAGTGCTCTGAATGTGATAAATCGTTTTACAAAAGCCATGCACTTAAGGAACACATGTTGTCTAAACACTCGACGGAAAAGTCATTTAAATGTGGTATCAATGGCTGTGAAGACAAATTTCAATCAGTTTATCTGCGAACTCTTCATCGACAATCTGTCCATCAAATGAAGTATTCGATGAAGAAAGTCAAAGACAGGTATTCGTGTCAATGGCCCGGTTGTGACTATCGGTGCGCTGGAAGGGAGCGTCTGGCAGATCATACACGAGTACACACCGGTGAGCGTCCGTTTGTGTGTCAGTGGCCAGAGTGTGACAAACGATTTACTACTAAAAAGGATCTAAAAAAACATGTGATTTGTCATCAAAATCAGAAACCATTTGTGTGTCAATGGCCCGGATGTGACTATCGGGGCAATACTAGTGCCAATCTGTGGGTACATAAAAAGATACATCAAAGACAATAATAATCTATATATGATATTAATATTTATTTTTTGATTTTATTAATTTGTTTAAAAAAATTATTATTTTATTTAATAAAAAAAGATAATTCAATTTGACATTTTTCAACAATTATTCAATATATAAAAGATCCCCAAATATCTAATGTTTATTTACATTTAGTATTAAAAATACTGTAATAATGTTATGATTATTATGATTATAATAATATTAAATATTAAACGATAATAACAATGAAAATGAAAACAAAAACTATCACCGAAACGGATCCAATGGTTTACATAGAAATCAATGATCTGTTCGATGAATTGATTGTTGAAAACAAACGACTCGTCAATGAGTTGTTGTTTGCAAACAAATGTTTGACTGAAATGAAAGATCACATGAATTTGGCTCAAATGAATCTATTGGGGCCCGTCAATAGCTATATATATCATACATAATTTCAACCTATTTTTTAACTCTAATTATTATTAAAATAATTAAAATTAAATTAAATGACATTTTCACACGTTACTTATGTGTGACAAAAAAAACACACCTCATGTATTATTGTTTTTTTTTGTTAATAGTGATAATAGTAATAGTGATAATAATAGTGATAATAGTAATAGTGATAATAATAGTGATAATAATAATAGTGATAATATATTTAGTGATAATAATAGTGATAATAATAATAGTGATAATAGTAATAGTGATAATAGTAATAGTGATAATAGTAATAGTGATAATAGTAATAGTGATAATAATAGTGATAATAGTAATAGTGATAATAATAGTGATAATAATAATAGTGATAATATATTTAGTGATAATAATAGTGATAATAATAATAGTGATAATAGTAATAGTGACAATAATAGTGATAATAATAATAGTGATAATAGTAATAGTGATAATAATAGTGATAATAGTAAAACTAAATATCGGTAAATTTATTATAATAGTAATAATTATAATAATATTAGTGATAATAGTAATAGTGATAATAGTAATAGTGATAATAGTAATAGTGATAATAGTAATAGTGATAATAGTAATAGTGATAATAGTAATAGTGATAATAGTAATAGTGATAATAGTAATAGTGATAATAGTAATAGTGATTAGTTTTTATATATATAATTTTATGCTGCGTTGGGCTACAGACTTTGCCGAAAATTGTTAAAACAAAACAATTTCGACTGGTCAAGGACGGTTTAATGTCCGTCCCGTAGGGTGATCCGGATATCCGTAAAGAATCCGCAATGAAAAATCATTTTTATGAAAATCACTTAAACTCGTTTATGGTCATTTGTATGTGAAGCGGGGGACTTAAATGGGGATTCAAACGAAATTATATGCTTAAAGAACAAAAATGTAAAGACGTGAACCGGCCATACCAGTTTTTTTAATTTATAAACTTTAAAAATAATTTTTATTGAAGTTTATAATATAAATTAAATTGAATAGTGTACTCGTTAATTTTTTAATTTTAACCTGATATTTTTAATGATAGTTTTAATGATACATATTATATTTCATAAATTATAATTAACTTTTTGCGCGTTAAACAATTAAAAATTATTATGTTTATTAGAATTATTAATTATATCATTGAACGCGAAATTAAAATAATTTTTAACTTTTAAACTAATACATGAAATAATTCAAACTAATAATTTAATAAATAATTTAAATATTTATTTGTATGTCAGTGGCCAGAGTGTGACAAACGATTTACTACTTAACAGGATCTTAAAAAACATGATGATTTGTTATCAAAATCAGAAACAATTTGTGTGTCAATGGCCCAGGATGTGACTATCGGGGCAATAGTGTGGCAATCTGTGGTACATAAAAAGATACATCAAAGACAACAATAATCTATATATTAATATTTATTTTTTGATTTTATTAAATTGTTTGAAACAAAAAATTTTATTTTATATAATAAAAAAATAATTTGACATTTTTTGAACAATTATTCAATATATAAAAGATCCCCAAATATCTGGTGTTTATTTACAAGTATTAAAAATACTGTAATAAATGTTATGATTATTATTATTATTATATTATAATTTTAATTAAATATTATACACAATAGTTAACAACAAAATGAAAACAAAAACTATCACCGAAACGGATCCAATGGTTTACATAGAAATCAATGATCTGTTCGATGAATTGATTGTTGAAAACAAACGACTCGTCAATGAGTTGTTGTTTGCAAACAAATGTTTGACTGAAATGAAAGATCACATGAATTTGGTTCACAAGAAATACGAACCGTTTATATTCGCCGAAGACATCAATAAGTGGCAGACATTACAACAATCAATGGACATAACTGTTGAGGAATACAATCAAAACAAACAATTACTGAGTAATGCAATGAAAAGTAATGCAAATCAAGATTCAAGAAGTACTGGTCGACGATTAAAGACATCAAAAACAAAATGTATTACAAATCAAATAACAACAACAACAGTCACAACAGCTGATCCATCACAACAACAGAATAAGTCTATAGAAAATATTAGTCGACGATTGCAATTAAAATTGATAGACAATACAGATGATGGTTACGGTAATGATGATCACCAATCGGATCAATCGGTTAATAGTTTACTACAATTGTTAAATCAAAACAATTTCGATGATAAACAACAACTATATTTGTGTCCATTTAATGGATGTGATCGCAAATATTCTTCGAATAATGGTCTGAATCATCACTTTCATCTGATTCACTATAAACCCGATTATAAACCATTTATCTGTGAACTGTGCGGACAGGGATTCAAACGAAAATTTATTCTCGAAAAACATATTCATATACACGATGTGAACCGGCAGAAGACATACCAGTGCTCTGAATGTGATAAATCGTTTTACAAAAGCCATGCACTTAAGGAACACATGTTGTCTAAACACTCGACGGAAAAGTCATTTAAATGTGGTATTAATGGTTGTGAAGACAAATTTCAATCAGTATATCAGCGAACTCTTCATCGACAATCTGTCCATCAAATGAAGTATTCGGTGAAGAAAGTCAAAGACAGGTATTCATGTCAATGGCCCGGTTGTGACTATCGGTGCGCTGGAAAGGAGCGTCTGGAAGATCATACACGAGTACACACCGGTGAGCGTCCGTTTGTGTGTCAGTGGCCAGAGTGTGACAAACGATTTACAACAAAAAATGATCTAAAAAAACATGTGATTTGTCATCAAAATCAGAAACCGTTTGTATGTCAATGGCCCGGATGTGACTATAGGGGCAATACTAGTGCCAATCTGTGGGTACATAAAAAGATACATCAAAGACAATAATAATCTATATATGATATTAATATTTATTTTTTGATTTTATTAATTTGTTTGAAACAAAAAATTTTTATTTTATATAATAAAAAAATAATTTGACATTTTTTGAACAATTATTCAATATATAAAAGATCCCCAAATATCTAATTACATTATTTACATTTAGTATTAAAAATACTGTAATAATGTTATGATTATTATTATTATAATAATATTAAATATTAAACGATAATAACAATGAAAATGAAAACAATAACTATCACCGAAACGGATCCAATGGTTTACATAGAAATCAATGATCTGTTCGATGAATTGATTGTTGAAAACAAACGACTCGTCAATGAGTTGTTGTTTGCAAACAAATGTTTGACTGAAATGAAAGATCACATGAATTTGGTTCACAAGAAATACGAATCGTTTATATTTGCCGAAGACATCAATAAGTGGCAGACATTACAACAACAACAACAATCAGTGGACACAACTGTTGAGGAATACAATCAAAACAAACAAATACTGAGTACTGCAATGAAAAGTAATGTAAATCCAAATTCAAGAAGTACTGGACGACGATTAAAGACATCAAAAACAAAATGTATTACAAATCAAATAACAACAATAACTGTCACAACAGCTGATCCACAGAAACAGAATATAGAAGATATTAGTCGACGATTACAATTAAAATTGATAGACAATACAGATCATGGTTACGGTAATGATGGTCACCAATCGGATGATAGTTTACTACAATTGTTAAATCAAAACAATTTCGATGATAAACAACAACTATATTTGTGTCCATTTACTGGATGTGATCGCAAATATTCTTCGAATAATGGTCTGAAACATCACTTCCATCTGATTCACTATAAACCCGATTATAAACCATTTGTATGTGAACTGTGCGGACAGGGATTCAAACGAAAATTTATTCTCGAAGAACACATTCATATACACGATGTGAACCGGCAGAAGACATACCAGTGCTCTGAATGTGATAAATCGTTTTACAAAAGATTTTCACTTAAGCAACACATGTTGTCTAAACACTCGACGGAAAAGTCATTTAAATGTGGTATCGATGGCTGTGAAGACAAATTTCAATCAATATATCAGCGAAATCTTCATCGACTAACTGTCCATCAACTGTCCAAGTATTCGACGAAGAAAGTCAAAAACAGTTATTCATGTCAATGGCCCGGTTGTGACTATCAGTGCTCTGGAAAAGATCGTCTGGAAAACCACACACGTTTACACACCGGTGAGCGTCCGTTTGTGTGTCAGTGGCCAGAGTGTGACAAACGGTTCCGACGTAAACATCATCTAAGACAACATGACATTTGTCATAAAAATCTGAAGCCCTATGTCTGTCAATGGCCCGGATGTGACTATCGGGGCAATAGTAGAGGCAATTATTGCGCACACAAAAAGATACATCAAAGACAACCACAATAATAATTACCGTTAGTTATTAAAAAATTAATTTATTGTATGTAATGTAATGTAATGTAAATGTTAATAACAGTACTGTAATACACTAAATAATAAAGTATAATATAAAAAAATAAATCTTTAAATGTTATGTTTATTTAATTTTAATATAAATTTTTTATTAACTATTAATTTTCATTAAAACATTAACTTATCTATTATACCGATACTAATAAATTTAGTAAATAATAATCAATAATGTATTTATCATTAAATATCAAAATTGTTTATATAGAAAATTAAATTACGCTTTAATAAAAAAAATCAGACCTTAATTGTTTTTTTTTTGTAATAAAATTATATTAGCTTATGATAATTAACATACATTTTTTAACGTTATAAAACATATTAAAATTATATTATTAAATTAATGTACTAACTAATACATTAGATAGATATTACTTACGGTTAGGGTTAGATTAGATTCCCTCCCTCGTCTTATATTCCATAAGTTCCTTATATTCCTTGTTCCCTGGGAATTCTTTGGGAAGACATTTCCTTGTGATACCACCTATCGTACCCTAACTCACATTACATAATGTTTTATTAAAAACACGTTTGTATAGTAAATGTCTACAAAATGTATTTAATGTTTTTACTAAATGTTTAATATTATTTGAATTACATTTTAATTGAGTTATTACTAACATACTGGTCCCAATTGAAACACATAGTCATTGAGATTAAGTACTTTTTAATGTATGGCTAATTATATTTTCCCTTTCTAACGATCAAGGGAGGGAATATAATATATTTTCCGGGAAAATTGGAGGGATTTTATTTGGGAACTTCCCTCCCTGGGAATCTCAATCTAACCCTACTTACGGTAAAACAAAAAAATGCATTGTTTGAAAATAAAAAATAAATAAATTATACAATAATTTCAATAACATAAACATATTGTATTAATAGTTAGGATTAGACCCACTTTCCAAACCATAAGTAGATGATTGGATCAATTGATAGATCCACTGGTGACAGTGATTATCGACTATTTTTATAATAATATTATATAATATAAATGTTTTTAAAAGTTAGATTTATAGATTATTTTATTTTTTACATACATAAATTGTATATTATATATAGTTTGTATAAAATTTATTTTAGTATATAAATTGTACTGTATATTCTGTATATACTGTAGATATAATTTCAAATATAGATATATATTACAGTATAACGTAATATTTTATATAATATAACAGTATTTTATGTATAATCTGTTGAACTGTGTTAACTTCTCCCACTTTAAGGCGTGTTTATAATAGGCTATATAAAACGCTAGCACTTGAAGTGCTAGAGAGGAATTGGTGTCACGGACTCTCGCTCTCGCTCTGGCTCTCTCGGAGGTCCCTTGTTTTGGGACTCAGAGATAGTAAGAGAGAGAATGGAGAGTCAATAGTTATGTATATTTGTTAGGTTTTACCAGACTTTTGACTATTATTTTATGTATACCTTATATAAATCTTATTAAATAAAAGTGTGTTAATTATAAATAAATTATGTGCTTTTAATAAGTTAACGGCTCACGAGTGGGCGTTTGGCAAATATAAGGTATGTCCGGCACACGAGGTACATTTGGTAAGTATAACTATATTTAATAGTTTTTTATGATATCGCTGCCAAGTAAGTGCTCTACAATTTTCTATTATGCTTTATATGGTGGAGGCTCCGAGGGTAGGAACACATGCTTCCTGTAAGATCTTTGTATCTCTAATGTAAAAATTTTATTAATAAGAATAATTTAATTGTTATAGTAGAATAGTAATATATTCTTTAAAATTTTTTTATTATAATAATGCTCCTGTGTAGTAATGATGATTAAAATCTAATAGGATTTAATAATATGAATATATATACTATATACTATATAAATAATAAATTAGTAAAATATATCTTTTCTTTATATTCTCTTATATAATTCTCTAATATTATATAGTTCTATTATATAAAACATTTTAGTAGTTATACTTAATTAAATATACCACTACAGATAGTAATTAATATTCATATATTAGCTAATATCACTTATTGCATATTTAAATTACATATATAGTAAAGAAAAATTATAACCAGATGTTCGCATAAAAATCAACTAAACATAAATTTTATTTTATTGTTTTTAAAAATCATAAATAAATTGAAATTCTTCTTTCAAAAAAGTTTTCTTTCATGAAAAAATTGTTATATAATCCTCAAAATATTTTTACAAAAAATAATTATAGCGTTTATATAAGTTAGTTTCAAAATTTAACTTCTAATAATTGTAATCTTTAAATATTTAAAATAATCTCTAAAGAGAACAGAACTCTTATTACAGTTAGTGGTAATAATGAAGACCACGCTAGCAATAAATTAAGTTAAAACTCAGATCTTAGCGCAGATCGAGTTACAAAGCCCATTAAAATTTCTAATGTTTTGTGTTAATGGTCTTATGTTAATGTTCTAATGTAAAATCAAAGTAATCTCATAAATAAGGATAGGGAATCTGAAAAATGGTACTAAATATAAGTAGTTAATCACTGTGGGTTCCGACCCGTCTCATAAATACGATGGGACTAAAGAATGTAAATGACTGTAGATAGAATTTTGTTTATATTTCAAAATGTAATAATTGGAGAGAAGTTATGCAAGTAAGACACATATATTCCAAAAGCACTGCTTAATCATGGTATAGAAATTTTTTGCAACTGAATGATAATCCTACCATCATTTTAAAACAGATGTTTTGCATTACTGAAATATTTCACGGTTTTAGGGCTGTTTTAGACATAACTTTAACAGTTAGACATTATGGAGTCAATGAACATATAACTATATATTATTACGAAATTAATGTAATAAATTAAACACAAAATAGATTATTGCGATAAAATGACACATATTAAGGTGATTACAATCAGAAGCACTTAAAATAGTGTTAATACTACAACCATTATATTGTAGTGATTTGTTAGGAAAATATATATTTATAGAAACTCTCAATGATATCAAATAAAAAATTAATTGCCTAAAAATGTACGAATAAAATAAAAATGATAATATATCAAATGTTGTGTGTAACAAAATAATGAAAATAATTATAGATGGGTTTTTATTAAAATCTTTTATGTTGTTTAAATAGCCGCGTATTTATACAGTTTTTAAAAAATGGGAAAAGTAATGCTTTAATTAAGAGTAATTGATATTAAATAATAAAAACTAATTAAATAATACTTAATATTTTTATATTATACAATAGTTAGAAAAATAATGCAAAAATGTATAGCAAAAAAAATTGATAATGATTTTAAAATAAATAGAAATGATTAGATAATAAATAGATATTTGAAAGAAATAGAAATAATTAGAATGAAATAGAAATGATTTGGTAATAAATAGAACTGATTTAAAAAAATAGATATTTGAAAGAAATAGAAATAATTTGATAATAAATAAATGTTTTGAATGAAATAGAAAAGATTTGGTAATAAATAGAACTGATTTAAAAAAATAGATATTTGTAAGAAATAGAAATAATTTGATAATAAATAGATGTTTTGAATGAAATAGAAATTATTTGGTAAAAAGTAGAACTGATTTAAAAAATAGATATTTGAAAGAAATAGAAATAATTTGATAATAAATAAATGTTTTGAATAAAATAGAAATGATTTGGTAATAAATAGAACTGATTTAAAAAAAATAGATCTTTGAAAGAAATAGAAATAATTTGATAATAAATAGATGTTTTGAATGAAATAGAAATGATTTGGTAATAAATAGAACTGATTTGAAAATAAATAGATGTTTGAAAGAAATAGAAATAATTTGATAATAAAATAGATGTTTGAATAAAATACAAATGATTTGAATGAAATAGAAATGATTTGATAATAAATAGAAATGATTTGATAATAAATAAAAATGATTTAATAATAAATAGAAATGATTTGATAATAAATAAAAATGATTTGATAAATAAATGTTTTGGATGAAATAGAAAAGATTTGATAATAAAATATAAATAGATAAAACCATTTAAGAGAATAGATTATTATTTAAAAATTTACCATTAAAATAAATAGCTATACCTTGAAAATGAATAGAGATACCCTAAAAGTGTATTAATAAGATATTAAAATATATATAGGTATACCCTGAGATAGAATAGACATACCATAAAAATGTATTGATAAACCACGAAAATATATTGATAAACCACGAAAATGTATTGATAAACCACGAAATTATATATAAGTATACCCGTAGATAGAATAGACATACCAAGAAAATGTATTGATAAACCACGAAAATGTATTGATAAACCACGAAAATATATATAAGTATACCCGTAGATAGAATAGACATACCACGAAAATGTATTGATTAACCACGAAAATGTATTGATAAACCACGAAATTATATATAAGTATACCTGTAGATAGAATAGACATACCACGAAAATATATATTGTTATACCGTAGATAGAATAGACATACCACGAAAATGTATTGATAAAACCACGAGAATATATTGATAAACCACGAAAATATATTGATAAACCACAAAAATATATATAGATATACCGTAGATAGAATAAACATACCACAAAAATGTATTGATAAACCACGAAAATATATTGATAAACCACGAAAATATATATAGGTATACCGTAAATAAAATCATGAAAATATATAGTAAAATCAGAAAATATGTAAAGAACCCATTAAAATATATAGAGAACCCATGAAAATATATAGAGAACCCATGAAAATATATAGAAAATCTATGAAAATATATAGAAAAACCATGAAAATATATAGTAAAACCATGAAAGTATATAGATAACCCATGAAAATATATAGTAAAATTATGAAAATATGTAGAAAACCCATTAAAATATATAGTGAACCCATGAAAAAATATAGTAAAAACCATGAAAATATATAGTAAAACAATGAAAATATAAAAAAACCATGAAAATATGTAGTGAACACAAAAATTGTAAAAATATATACACTTACCATAAATATGAGTACACATACCATGAATATGAGTACACATACCATAAATATAAATACACATACAATGAATATGAAAATTATACACAATTTTTTAAAAGTATAAACAAAATATTAAAATATGTATTCTAATTATAAAAATATATACACAACCTATAAAAATATATACACAACCTATAAAAATATATACACAACCTATAAAAATATATACACAAATTATAAAAATATATAAACTATGAAAATATATACCATATAAATAATAATTTTAATTTTTACAAAAACTATTATTTGTCTAATATATATTTATATTAAAATAAAGATAAGTTCAATATATGAATCTATTAAGAAAAAAATCGCAAAGTTAATTATTTGAATACAATAAGAACAAAATAGAAAAATAAAGTTATAATTAATATTATTAAAATATAAATATTAAAATAAATCTTATAATACAAAGTTGTAAAAACATATTAAATTAAATACAATAACTAAAGAAATAGTAATTATTTGAAAAATTAAAAAAAAATTTTGATTGAAATAATTATTTGAAAAAACAGAAGAGAAGTTTGAATTTGAAAATCTGATTGTTATGAAGAAAACAATGTTACGAACGACGCGATAAATATAATGATGAATTGAATTGTTAAATAAAAGATGATGAATAAACTTTTGCGCATTGTTAGAGCCAAAAAAAAATAATTTAAAAATTAAATTTTGTAATCACTTGGTATTACTACTATTGTCATTGTGTGTGTCATAGTAATATTAATTATTATTTTATAAACAAATTTTTTAAAGTTAATATTGTATTCACAGAAATAAGATTAGTTTAGATTTATATAAATATATATAAAAGACATTTATATATTTCATAATTTAATAGTTTTTGTAATTACATAATATTCTAATTATATATCTATTAAAACTAACAAAAATGTAAAATTATCGTAAAATACAAAAAAAATGTTAAAATGTTATAAAATACAAAAAAATGTTAAAATTTTATTATAAAATACAAAAAAATGTTAAAATTTTATATAAGATCAAAAAAAACTTTCTTAATTAAGTAATTTTATAATTTTAATCAAAAGGATGGACTTTTTTCTTAAGGTTGGGGGAGTACAGTATAACGTAATATTTTATATAATATAACAGTATTTTATGTATAATCTGTTGAACTGTGTTAACTTCTCCCACTTTAAGGCGTGTTTATAATAGGCTATATAAAACGCTAGCACTTGAAGTGCTAGAGAGGAATTGGTGTCACGGACTCTCGCTCTCGCTCTGGCTCTCTCGGAGGTCCCTTGTTTTGGGACTCAGAGATAGTAAGAGAGAGAATGGAGAGTCAATAGTTATGTATATTTGTTAGGTTTTACCAGACTTTTGACTATTATTTTATGTATACCTTATATAAATCTTATTAAATAAAAGTGTGTTAATTATAAATAAATTATGTGCTTTTAATAAGTTAACGGCTCACGAGTGGGCGTTTGGCAAATATAAGGTATGTCCGGCACACGAGGTACATTTGGTAAGTATAACTATATTTAATAGTTTTTTATGATATCGCTGCCAAGTAAGTGCTCTACAATTTTCTATTATGCTTTAATATTATTAGTTTTTTTTTCAACATTAACATGTAAAACTAAATATACGTTACTGTACTTATTTATTCAATATTTTTACAATATTACTTTAATATATTTGAGATATATATATATTTGAAATAGTTATATAAATATTTGACAGTAATTTATATTATCAATTAAATAATATGTTTAATTTATTATACACAAACACGTAATATTATATGTTAATTATCAAATTTTATTTTTATAATTTAAAAGATTATTAAAGATCTTATATATTATTGTGATATCATGTAATAAATTAAATTAATTGATATCACAATATTATAAATAGACTTTTATTTTGAAATATAAATATAATATATATTATCTTTTACAATTTTTTCTATTAAATTATCAAATGCAAATATTTGTATTAAATATTTTTAAATATAAAATAATAATTTGTTATAGTTACATATTTATTATTTTTTTTTGTTTATATAGATATTTATAAGTTTTTTTGTCCCCAATTTTAAGTTTAATTAAAAAATTAAATAAATGTATTTTTGTAATTTTATTGAATTTATATCCAATAATCATATAATACCCAGTTATACAAAATCATCGAAATCACTATATGTTTGCCTATTTTGTTGGTTATGTACTATTCGCTGGATATTTGTTGTCAACAATACTAATACATATGTTTGGACACTAATTGGTGATCCAATGTATTGTTCAGGTGATCGTATTTTATCAAATTTTATATTTTGTTTAATATCAGTTTTTGGATCAATATTTAGGACGGCATTTATAATTGGTTAATAATTATTATAATTTTAATATACTATATATATATATATATATATATATAACTTTATTTGAAAATAAATATCTATTTTTTAAATGTTGTATTTTTTTAGGAGATAAATTATCAAAATTAGATATCATATTTAGCATAATTAAACTAAATGTTGATAATAATAGTATTGGTCATCGTTTGGATAGTAAAAACATTAAGCGATTAAAACTTATATCATTTGTTATCAAATATTTTGTATTCAAAGTGATTAACATTAGTTGTCCGATAATATTTGCATTAGTTTATGGACTATACTGTATAATAGCCTATTTAAATAATGATTACAATTATTCGTCTATTATATTAATTGTATGGTTTGTCATATTAATCAATTGGTCAATACATATAACATCAGTTATAGTGTTTAGCTATGGTATCATATTTTTCATTGTCTATTATATGAAATTACAATTCAAACAATTGCGATCTAAATTTAAACAATTAGTACATTATTTAAACAATATAACAATTATTATCGATTTTATACGTAAACATAATTATTTGACTGTAGAAGTATATGAATGCAATAAATTTCTAAAATATCTATTATTTTACAATCACTTTATCGCTTCGTGTCTAATAGTAGTCTTGTATTATACCTATTTGTATGGTAACGGTAACATATATTTCCGTTTAGCCTATCTAATGGTTGGCCTAATCGGCACATGTCTAGTCTATTTGGTTACCCGTACCAGTGCATCCCTATCATACGAGGCACACATATTATATCCGTATATACATTCAGTAATCGGTGTCAATAAATTACCAATGTCATTAAAAAATAAGGTAAAATCATATATGATAAAAATTAATTAAGTTTTTTTTAAAAAAATTTATATTATTTAATTAATTAAACTTTATATATTTTTTTGGTGACTTTACTACTACTACTACTACTACTACTACTACTACTACTACTACTACTACTACTACTACTACTACTATACAAAGCTATTGTGTTTTATTGATCGCCTATCGGGTCCAACAATTGGTATGTATTGTCTAAATTTGTTTGCACTAACGAGTCTACAATTTGTTACCGTAAGTGATAATTATACTAATATTTAAAAAAAAATATATATTATTAATATTAATATATATTAATAGTAATTATTTGTATACTTAATAATTATTTTTGTTTATCAATAAAAATTCATATAATAGTTTTCAATCGGAATTATTGTAAAATTTTTAATAACAGCAAACCTAATGAGCGATTATTTTGGTTATTAAATTAATTAATAATTAATAGTAAATAATTTATTTAATTAATCATGTATTAGTTGTTTAAAATTTTAAAAATAAATAAAAATATCAATAAATATGTATTTAACATATTTTTTTTATTAAAAAAACTTTGTATAAACTTTTTATATATTTAATAAATTATAATATAAATTTATTTTCAATATATTAAAGATCCCCCAAAAAATCTAGTGTTTATTTACATTACTGTTAAGTTAATTAAAAACAAAATTTTGATATATATTTCAATCATATTTACAATAAACTGATTATAATTATAATTATAATAATAAAAAACACAATGTTATCGATCACTGCAAAAAGTATCACCAAAACGGATCCAATTGTTTGTGTAGAAGTCAACGATATTTTTGATGATTTGATGTCTGAAAACAAACGACTCGTCAATGAGTTGTTGTTTGCAAACAATTGTTTGAATTTATTGAATGAATTGAAAAGTTATTTACAGATAATTCACGCGAAATACAAGACAATGATTGCTGAGGAAGACGTCAAACAATGGCAAACATTACAACAATCAGTCGACACAACTGTCGATGAATACAATAGACTGAAAAGTCAAGTAAATCAAGAGTCAAATAGTGGTCAGAGATTGCAGACATCGGTAAAAACAAGTTTTACGAGTTGTTCAACAGCTGTTCCGCAACCGATCGCTAATTCAGAGATTTTGCGATTACTTCAGTCAAGTATACCGACGGCGAACGTCCAAAGAGTTAGACCCTTAGGCCGTCCAGACAAAGATTGTGACAAACAGTTAAACAACAGAAATGTTTTAACACAACAAGAATCGACAGATCAGTTATCGCCAGAAAGGTCTCACACGTCTCGCAAGACATTCAGTGATAATTGCGAATTGACGGCACATCTGAAGACACACCACGACGACACCAATTGCGAAAAATTGACGGATAGTACAGATGATGGCAGCGATGTTGATGTTGATGATGATGTTGTTGGTGATGTTGATGATGATGATCACCAATCAAATGAAAGTTTACTATTAATGTTAGAGCAAAACAATTTCGATGATAAACAACAACGATATTTGTGTCCATTTACTGGTTGTGATCGCAAATATGTACACAAAAAGGATCTCAAAGTTCACTTTCTTCAACACCACTTTAGACCCGATGATAGACCCTATGTTTGTCAGGTATGCGGACAGTCATACAAACGAAACTATTTGCTTGAAAAACATATGATTGTACACGACTTGGACAAACAGAAGACATACCAGTGCTCTGAACATGTATTGACCAAACACTCGACAGTCAAAAATACTTACAAATGTGATATCGATGGCTGTAATGAAATATTTGAAAATTTAGATAAACGCCGACATCATCGACAGTTTGTCCATAATATTAAGTATTTGGCGAAAACGAGACTATTATCGCCTAAACTTAGGGAGTGTCAATGGCCCGACTGTGACTACAGGTGCTCAAGCAATGATAATATGGAAAATCATATTCGTAAGCATACCGGTGAGCGTCCGTTTGTTTGCCAGTGGCCACAGTGTGACAAACGATACAAAACAAAGTTTAGACTGAGATATCATGAGAAGCGAAGTCATCAAAATCTGAAGCCTGAATCAAAATTTGTCTGTCAATGGCCTGGATGTGAATACCGTAACTCCAGTAGCTATAAACTCAACGAACACACCCGTCTGCATACCGGTGAGCTTCCGTATGTGTGTCAATGGCCTGAGTGTGGCAAACGGTTTCGACTTAAACTAGTCTTAACTAAACATGAAATTTGTCACAAAAATTTGAAGCCATTTGTCTGCCATTGGCCCGGTTGTGAATACCGGGGCAATAGTAGTGGCAATTATTATGCACATAAAAAAATACATCTAAGACAACAATAATTTGTATTATAACTGCCAGTTATATCAATAATTATATGATATATACTGTATATAAATAAAACATAGATTTAATATAATTTATTGATACAAATATCGGGTCTCTCTCTCTCTCTCTCTCTCTATCTCTATCGGGAGATCAAAGTCAACCCCTAATACGGCAATGAAGTTATTAATGTTACGATAATAAATATGTACAATCATTACGACCATCAATGATATGATGATAACTATTGCCGTTATCGCCAATCAATCAATCGGTTGATCCACTACTTAGTCCAACTGACTTTCGGTATATCGTAGTGTTCGGTAAGACTCTCCAAATGGTCGTTAAACTCTTCGACCCGTTGTTTATGACTTTTGCTCGCCTTTTCCATAATCCGTTCGGTCTGTCGTTTATATTGCTGATCGAGAAACTTGCGTTCGGCGGCTGTCCTCCAATGGCCACCACTACTGCCACCGCTAACTGATGCCGACGATGAAGAAGCAGCTGAAGACACGTTGTTGTTGTTGCTGTTGTCGGCCATAGTTTTGTCGATCATTTGCTTATATAAACCTTTCTCTTGTTCTGTTAGTTTAGACATATCTTTCTTCTTCTTTTTCTTCTTCGACTTCTTAGTGATCATACCGTCGGCTGACTTCAACTTCAATGCACTTTTGGCCACAAACTCGTACTCGTCTGAAGACATGATGTGCTAAACAATTATAATTTATTGATTGATTGAAACTTATTGTTAAAGTTATTGATTCACAAAAAAATTGATGATATCTTTTGATGTGAAGATACAAACAAAAATCAGATGAAAATCAATGAATCAATTAATTAATTAATAATTTTGTTTATAGTTTTTGTTTATATTTTAAACACAATAATAACATATTGTGTTTATATAAAAAAATTAACTCACTTTGTGCTAAACCAAAACATTAATTTCAATATAACAATACAGTAGTATATAAATGAGCCCAAAATTGTTAAGTCTAATGCTTAGGGGGGGCGGAGTCTATAAACGGCATAGTTATTTTACACACTAAGCAATATTGTATGTATATATATATTAAGTGCAATCTATGATAATCTATGTACTTGTGGTGCGTCTGCTATTGTTTTGGTTTAGCACAAAGTAAGACAGTTTTTTTATGTACAGTATAATACTGTATTGACAAACAAAAACCAGATAACTGCACATAATTTGATGAACATTGTAATCAATAAAAATAATATCTAAATATAATAAGCGTTTACTAATGTGTCAGTTAACCTGTTTTTTAAATACAGTAAATAATTATTATTTTATACACATCTAATGTTGTCAATGTAAATGTAAATAACTATTCCATAAATAACATTGTCTAAATAGATATAAAATATATTTTAAATTAATTAATCTAGCAGATTTGAATACACACAAATATATATATATATATAGGGAACAATGTATAAATAGACATAATTTATGTTTATATATATTTTTAGTAAATTTTCTATTGCCAACAAGTTGCATATAGTAAATGAGCAATGACAATTAAATTATGTATAGTATATTAGTACAGTAATATTTTTTAATTTTTTAATTTTTATACACCTACTGTATTAATACTCTAACAAAAACATTTTGACACATGATACATTTTTTTGAAGTTAAATTTTATTTTTTATTAGCTAGATTATAATTATAAATTATTTATTAATTGATACAATTGGTCAACAATAATAATGATGATCCAGGTCAACTATCGATTCGGTTCACTGGTCGTCCAGAGTGCCGTTCACGAGTCGGAACAGTGCGGCGCCAATGGACTGCCGGTAACGCCGGCATCGATAGCAATGATTGGCAACTTTCGGTCACTGGTCGACGGTAACAATCGGCTGACCCGCGACACCGGGTTGGCCGACAAATATATGACCCGATATCTCGATTGTATTCGAAATAAAAAAGGTATTATTTTGTTTTGTTTGGTTTTTTTAAAAAAATATTCAATTTAGAACCTAGCTAAATTTAATATTTTAAATTACTATAGTTAGTAAATTAATAATTATATTTATAGTAAATATAAATTAGTTATAATTTATTCTAGTTCAATTAGCATTATAAATGTTTCTAGGTCCTTTATAAATATTTTTAAAAACTTAACATGTTCGATTTTTAATTTTATATTTATATATATTTTTTGTTGTTGATTAGAACGGATAACTATAATCTTCGAACACTATAACAATGACCTACCGGTGCACGATATGCTAGCGGTGGCCACCAGTGCACTGTTAGCACTGTATCACATGCACTACGAGATGGGCTGTGTTCACGGACTCATAACACCCGACGCACTCGTATACGATAGCCATCGATCGGCAGTCAAACTGACACATTGGGCCCTAAATGCTATTACCGAATCTGGCCGTCACTGTGACGCCCATATGCTTATACCAAGTAAATAATTTTTTTGAATGCACCGGTATTTTGTATAAAGTTTAAATGTACAGTACATTAACCTACTGTTCCCTCTTTTTTATTATTATTTTTTCAGATGACATCCGTTTCTTGCCCTACGAACAGCTCAACGGTATAGCAACTGTTCGCCCGTCGGATGTCTGGTCACTGGCGCTTACATTGTTGTCATTGATGGACAAAAACCTAAAACTACCGGACAATCCTAGCGAACTGTTTCAATGTCTCAGCTCACGCGAAGTACTGATCAAATTGGACGCCAATCTGACATCACTCTCCACCGAATGGCAACAGTTTATGCTGTCGGCACTCGATCCGAAACCGGCCAATCGGGCGACAGTTAAGCAGCTAATGAAAATATTGAACATACCGGTGCCCGAACCAGTGTGCGACCAACTGGACGAGTTGGTTCGCTATCCGAAATTGGACAACAAGTTTACGGCCAACGAGTCGATCTCTATTTACGAGTTTTATCATTTGTATTGTCTGGCGTTTCCATCGAACAGAGATCAGTCATCACAAGAGAAAAATAATCAGAAAAAGCCACCGATTCTTACACTACCGACACTTGTGCTCCGGGAGGACAAGTGTCAATCAGGCAAAACTGTTCACCGAAAGAATTTCGTTAAAATATCGGCCAATCGACAGCTAAAACTGCTACCAATCGACAGTCTTGTCGAACGACTTAATCAGTTACCGCCGGAAACTTTCTGTCCTCTAATACTGACGCCCGGATTCAATGCCGTTTGGAGTCTACAGAGTTTGCCGATCGGGATTCGTGAGAACGACTTCAGCTACCAGTGCGAGCGTATTATGATATTCAAGCGACTCATCGATGGTAAGTCCGATGTTTGGCCAATAAATTTGATTAATTAATTTGTTTGTTTGTTTGAAACTTATGTTTGTTAGGCTCGCCATTCACCCGAACCCAACTGATATCGTCGGCCAAAGTAGACATACCGCCTCTGTACAGGTGCCACACTTGGGCCCATATTCTTAACGTCAAATGGTCAGACCTACTACTATACGAACAGATTGACAAATTGACGGCAACACAAACCGATCGGCAGATTAGTGTCGACATTCCCCGATGTCATCAGTACAACGATCTGTTGGCCTCACCGCAAGGTCACCGAAAGCTGACCCGTGTGCTGAAGGCCTGGCTTCGGCATAACGAAGCCAAAGGCGATGTCTATTGGCAAGGGTTGGACTCGTTGGCCGCACCGTTTGTTATATTGAACTTTAACAACGAGCCGCAAGCGTTTGCCTGTTTTAATGCCTTTACGCACAAGTATTTGAAGGGTCAGTAGAGTACTACTACTACTGACTGTTAGCTAACTGTTTTCATTTATCTATAAATTTTTATTTTATAAAAATACTTTATAGGTTTCTTTCAGAGAGATAACAGTCGCGTAATACAAGAATATTTGGCACTGTTTTCAATATTAATCAAATTTCAGGACCCAGTGCTGGCCAATCACTTGAATGGCCTACAGTTTATGGCCGATCTCTATGCCATTCCCTGGTTTCTCACAATGTTTACACACGTACTACCGTTGCATCAAATTATGCACTTATGGGATACACTGTTATTAGGTATTACCTGAAAATAATAATAATAATAATTAAGATTTATTTCTATATTGACAATCTTTGTCTATTATCTTAAACTTTTTTTTAGGTAACGAATCGTTTCCACTGTTCATAGGCTTATCAATACTGAATCAATTGAGAGACCAATTGTTGACCTTTACATTCAACGACTGTATACTTGTGTTCTCCGATTTGCCGCAAATCGATATCAATAAATGTGTTAAACACGCGGTCCGACAGTTTTGCGCCACACCCAAGAGCACTGTCCAACGGGGACTGTGGCCACTGGAACAGCTCAAACAAGACAACTGTCCGCTTATTGACGTTACAGATGTCATATCGTTTGTCAAAAGCGATAAATCGGTAAAAGTTCTAATAATTGATTGTAGATCTGATGAAGACATTCAACTATTCGGCCGAATCCGGGACGCAGTTATGGCCGCCGATTATAATACTGAATCTGTTTCGTCCAATCGTAACAATAGTTATCACATCACTGTTGTGGTCAACGATGTCGACAAATGTGTGCAATTAATTGCCAACAATACTGTTAGGGTGTGTCTCATGCAATTGACTGGTGATATTCCCAATGAACTATTAGACCAATAAATATAAATATATATTTTTTTAAATCTAAATTTATATTAAGAATATCTAAAATTATAGATATTTACAATATTATAAAACTATTGATATTTTATTTATAATCTTTATATTTATATATTTATTTATTATAAATTATATAATATACTCATATACCGTATATTTTGTTAATGTTAATTATTATTTAGTATATTTATAAATTAAAAATAATAAAACTAGAATTTACAATTATAAAATTTATTTTGTAAAATAAAATAATAATATATTTTTAATTATTGATAATGATGACTTACGATTAAATGTATTGTATTAAAATTATTAAAAAGTGCAATGTATTTACAAAAAAAAAAGATATTATTATATTAAAAATTAATAAGTTAATATATAGACTTCATAGACGGCTAAAAATGGTAGGCCCCCCCGCTAACATTTTGGCTTCAGGTCAGGAGGGGGGGGTTAGATCCAAAAATTCTCGATTTCAGGGGGAAAAGAAGTCTTGTCGTCGACTAGAAAAGCCACGGCATTGGCCACATCATCGGGTCTACCGACTCGTCTTAATGTAATTTTCTCAATAAAATCTGGCGATAAAACCCATTTGCTTAGCATTGGGTTATTAGTTACCAATGGCGTCGATATAAGACCGGGACTAATAGTAATGACAATAATAATGATAATATATTAAATATTTTATAATATTATTATTATTAGCTAACTATAAACACCTGATACTATTAACGCCAATACCGTTAGATTTTAACTCCAGTGCCAGACATTTAGTTAGCAATGCTATTGAATCAATAATTATTTTCATTATTCAATACTCAAAATAATTATGTCCTTAAAAGATAAAGTTACCGGTATTAATAAACTGTATTAATAATGACCATGTAGATTATATTTAAAACACTATATGAACAACTATATATCCACTTATGTGGAAATGAAATTTTTACGATACGCCCAAATGTTGACAAAATTGTTGACCCAATCGGTGACGGACAACAAACAACAGCTATCGGTGTTTGTGCCGACATATTGCTCGACGAAGATATCAATAAACTGTCGGACACTGTGCTGTCAGTGTACGGCAAATGCGATATATTGGTCAACAACGCCGGTGTCTATCGGTTAGCTGGCTTTGGTTCGGCCAACTATATGGACACCTATGACGAGGAGATGAAATTTTTACGATCCGCTCAACTGTTGACAAAATTGTTGACCCAATCGCTTATCGACAGTAAGGGTAGTATTGTTAACATATCGTCATATTATGATAATCCGGTTCGTTGTTGATGTTGTTGTTGTGTTTATACAATAGATAATAATTTTTATTAAAACTAAAATATTTTTATATTTAAAAATATCAGTTTCCGCTTGCATTGGCTAATAATATTAACAAAGTTTGTACAGATATGCTAACTAAATGTCTGGCACTGGAGTTAAAACCTAACGGTGTTTGCGTTAATAGTATCAGGTGTTTATAGTTAGCTAATAATAATAATAATAATATTATTAATTATTTTATTAATATTAATAGATTATCATTAATATTGTCATTACTATTAGTCCCGGTCTTATATCGACGCCATTAGTAACTAATAACCCAATGCTAAGCAAATGGGTTTTATCGCCAGATTTTATTGAGAAAATTGCTTTAAGACGAGTCGGTAGACCCGATGATGTGGCCAATGCCGTGGCTTTTCTAGTCGACGACAAGTCGGCTATAATTACAGCATTAAAACTTGCTGTAGACGGCGGTCATTGATTATATGTACTATTATTAGTTATATAATGTATTTATAGTGAAATAAAATTATATTTAATAATTTTATAAAAACTAATATACAATTGTTGAGAAACTCATATTTCATATATTATTTAGCCTTAATTTTAATGTTTAATTTTTGTATTATTTTATTGATACCTATTTTTGTGCATTTAATCCCTTATTTTGAATCCATTAATTATTTTGATCGCTCTATACCTACCTTTTCCTATGAATGATCGATCAATGACACCAATAACTGGCGCCAAGTGATCGATCAATGCAACTGTCCTTATATTCAAACAAACCAATAGCCGTACACCAAATACCTAAACATTATTCTCTTATAAATACCAGTACTGACACACCAGACAGTCAGTGCAATCCTAAACACCATTACTATCAGTTACTATAGTGTATACACCATTGCATTCATTCGCGTGCTCTTAAATTATACCATTTTTATACCATTGTTTTAACTACTATTTTAACTGTCTTAAGTATAATAAAGTATTGTAACTAAACTGTGTCTAAGTTATTGTCTTCACCTAATCACTGGATCGATCATCACATCCACACTATCATCCATCTCAAACATTGTCTGATCGATTACCACTTCAAGTCTACCATTTCGCTGGCCATCCATACAAGTTATCGAAGTTATCAATAGTACTAACGGATCGATCCTTGGCCTACACTCCGGTCACCACTACTGCAGATCTGTACATCATTTTGATGGACACATAAAGTGCCTTTCAAGTGATCACTAAATCAATTGTGAAGTCTTTGACCGAACAATTGATACCGTTGTGGGAATTGAGGGAAACTATCGGTTGTTGGTCTCATACCGACCCACGCTAGACAACTGATCCATAGGTTAAACCAAACCGCCCACAACACAATTAAACAAATTTCATTACTATAAGCAAAATGTTTTTAAAAATTATTTATCTTATTTTTTTCTATAAAAGTTTTCAATAAAATAAGTTTAAATAAATAAATAAAACTAAAATCATGTAATTTATAATAAGTAAAATTTGTTTACCGTTACTTAATAAAAATTAAATGTTAGCAAATGATAAAACACATAACATAACAAATATAACATAAATTATTTAATAATAATTTTCAAAATTTATATCAAACAATGAGTAATATAAAATAACAATATGTACTAGATTATTTATACAATATAGTTTTATAACGTTTAATATTGATTAATTATACTATTAGAATAATAAGTAATTAAATTTGAGTTTAACATTATTTTATAAATATTAAATTAAATTATTGTTTTGTTTTTTAAATATAATTCTAATATGTTTTTCATATTACAAGTCATAACTAGGAATGAAATCAATTTAAAAGTACTTTTGAGACAACATTTTATTAAATATAACTTTAGTTACTTTTAATTAAGTATTTCGAAAAAGCTGCAAAAATTTACAAATTAAGATATTTTATAATACGATAAAAATATATCAGTCAATTGATATTTGCATTAAAATTTTACTTTCATTTGTATAGTCAAAAATTAATGAGATTAACTGAATTGAATTGTAATTATTATAACTAATAATAAAAAATAGATAACTAAAATAAAAATAATATTTACACTTGGATTGAATGAATGATAAATTAAGTTTAATATATAAATATTTAGTTAGTATAAGACCGTGAATGTTGTCACTGAGGCCTTAATTTTCAAATAAGTTATAATAATAACTATAATAAATGATAATTAAATTATTGTCTTGATTTAATGAGCTTTTAATTATCATTTATACTTTAAAATCATGACTTGGTTTTTTACTCCCGTAACAAAATGTATGGTTGACAACATTTGTAAAATTCAATAACTTTAACAAAAATTCAATAAAATATAAAATATTTTCTATTTACTAAATATTTATAAAATATAACTTATAATATAATTTTTAATTAAATTAATTAATTAAAAAAGTATTTTATATTCTATTAAAAAAATATTTTATATTTCATTAAAGTTATGTTAAAGTTGTCAGTGGGCAATTCATTCACCATTGCTTTTAAATTTACATAAAATAGAAAATCTTTTTTAAAAAATTTACAAAATCATTATGAAAATAATAATTATTATTCCTTAAATTCTGTATAGTATAGTATTGAAACAGACTTTATTAAAAAAATTAATTAATATTTTTTTTTGTTAAAAAAAATCTAGTTTATTAAAAATATTTACAGCAAGCAAATCGCTGGCCATAAATTTAGCTTGTATTTAGTTATAATTTTTTATATTATATTTATATTTTTTAAAAGAATAAAATATTTATTAAAGTAATAAAATATATTCAAAAAAAATTGAAAAGTTTTTTTTACTGAAATCTATAATGCCTTTTTCAGTCTGTCTGTCTGTGTGTCTGTAGCATATTTTTTTGCGAATTTTGAAATTCTGACTTCAGATTCGGTTAGAGGACTACTAATAATGTATTGAAAATTTTGATATCTTCGGGAACATAGAGATAATGGCGACCAAAGTAAAAAAATTTAGGTAAAAATTTTAACGTTAAGAATTGTATAAAGCATCAAAAATAAGATATAATAGATCAAAATTATTTTATTTTTTCAAAAAATGGCGGCAAAAGTATGATTTTAGCTGTTTATTTTGTTATACTAAATTATTTAATACCACACATGAGTAGTTTTGTATTTTGTCATACTGAATCATTTGATACCCTACATGACTATAGTTCAGTTTATTTTGTCATACTAGGTCATTTGACTAAACCAACTAAATATTAATTTGCTAACATAATATTATAGCGGTTGAAGGTAGTGGTCGCTATGTGCTTAGCGTGAGTGTACCGATGATAGCCAGCGATGGTAATGAGAGGACACCGAGAGGAGCGGAAATTAATAATAATTTATTGATTGATTGAAAAGTAAAGTTTGAGTTATTTTTAGTGAGTGAGTGAGTACGAAATTTTAGTGGACGACCCGTTTTGTACACAAGTATACTATAAGTTTAAATTAATATTTTTGTTGTTGTTGTTGATTGTACTGTAATATGATTTTTTTTAAATATTTTAAAGTATAAATGAAAATTAAAAGCTCATTAAGTCAAAACAATAATTTAGTTATTATTATAACTTATTTGCCAATTCAGGCCTCAGTGACAACATTCACGGTCTTATACTAACTAAATATTTATATATTAAACTTAATTTATCATTCATTCAATCCAAGTGTAAATATTATTTTTATTTTAGTTATCTATTTTTTATTATTAGTTATAATAATTACAATTCAATTCAGTTAATCTCATTAATTTTTGACTATACAAATGAAAGTAAAATTTTAATGCAAATATCAATTGACTGATATATAAATATTTTGATTGTATTATAAAATATCTTAATTTGTAAATTTTTGCAGCTTTTTCGAAATACTTAATTAAAAGTAACTAAAGTTTTATTTAATAAAATGTTGTCTCAAAAGTACTTTTACATTGATTTCATTCTTAGTTATGACTTGTAATATGAAAAACATATTAGAATTATATTTTGAAAACAAAACAATAATTTAATTTAATATTTATAATATAATGTTAAACTCAAATTTAATTACTTATTATTCTAATAGTATAATTAATCAATATTAAACTTTATAAAACTATATTGTATAAATAATCTAGTACATATTGTTTTTTATCTTACTCATTGTTTGATATAAATTTTGAAAATTATTATTAAATTATTTATGTACTGTATTATCATTTGCTAACATTTAATTTTTATTATCAGTGATATATACTTTTTAAAAAACAAATTAATATGCGTTTATTGTTTATATGCGTATAATAATGCGTTTTAAAGATTTTTTAATTTATTGAAAATAATGATTTGTTTGTTTTCTTTTATTTATTTAAACAAAATTTAAAACAATCTAGCTCAATTCTTATCAAATAAACAATTTACCGATATATCACTATCAGATTATGATAAACGATTTGTAGCTTTAAAAAGTATCGGACACAAGACTACTGTGTAAATATTAAAATAATATTATTTTTTTAAATATAAAATTTAATTGTTTAAACAAACAAATAAAACAAGTTTTATGTATTACTTAAATATTCTCTATTAAAAAAATTATTAAACAATATTTTTAAAAATATATATTGAATTTATATCAGAATTGCGAAATGTTTTCGATTTTAGAGGGGGGTATAGGGTGGGGTAAAATGGCAAAAATCTCAAAAAAAGCTTGGTGGTATAGGGTGGGATTAACAATTTTTATTGCATTTTTAAACGACAAATTTTTCCAAATTTTCCCAATATTCCCAGTAAATTTTAAATAAATTGGTAAGTTGGAAAATTTTTTACGGGGCCCCTTAACTTTAGCTTTAGGCCAAGGGTTGATAATACCTAATCATAATTAGCCTACCCTACCATTTCGCAACCCTGATATATAGGAGTATATTGATATACAATATATATTTTTAATTAGAATGATTATAATTTTTTATTATTATTGTAAAATAATTAAATTATAAATTTATTTAGAATAAATATATATTTATTGTTTTTTATTATTTAAATAATAATATTTCTAATATATATATATATAATCTTATATATACTGTTATATAGAAATTATTCTTCAAGCAAACGATTAGCTAAAATAATATGCGATTGTGTGGACTCAACACTACAAACAATTAGCAAAACAGAATCGAAAATTCCGTTTTATTTTAAAAAATATTTATTCAAAATATCAATGAATATTATGAACAATAGTCTGTTTGGTAAATCGTATGTATATTTGTGTTATATTTTTATTAACTAAACTTTTATCTATCGACTCTGATATTAGCAGAGAGTCTTAAACAGCGGCGGCGGCGATGATAGCGGCGATGCTATTAATTACAATTATCTGGTCAACAATACGTTGAATTAAAAAGTGACCAAGGGCAATGTTGTAGATAATTTAACTATAGATAAAATTGTAATTGGTCATTTTTTAATTAATTGTATTATATGCCTGATTTTTAAATTTTGAAATTTATAAATGATAGTCGACTACAATTATCTGGCAAATCATACAATTAATTAAAAAATGACAAATTACAATTTTAGCTAGTATAAAATTATCTACAACATTGCCCTTGGACACATTTTAATTCAACGTATTGTTGACCAGATAATTGTAATTAATAGCATCGCCGCTATCATCGCCGCCGCCGCTGTTTAAGATTCTCTCTGATATTTGTATTGATATTTCTAATAAATAATTAATTTTTTTTGATGAAAAAAAATTAAAATAATAGAAATGCGTTAACTGATGACGAATTTTTGTTAACTAAATTACATTTACGCGATTTGCCGCAAGAATCGGGTGTCCGACGTATACTACTAAACGTCTCACCTGTTTTCAGTTGGATATTCCCGGCTATGGCCCGAAAAATACAGTCAACTGTCAATGGATTCACTGATATGGTTTATGTTACACTATAATAGTAATAAAGATTATAATAATAAGAGTGTTAATAAATTTGGCACTGAATATGATGATAATGACGAGGACGAGGGCATGGATGAAGACGACTTGTGTGACACTCTGTTAGCCAATGTTAAGCATATGGACAACCGTAGCGGCGCCGATGTATCCCAGTATATGACTGTTAAAAATTTATCGCTAATTATATCAAATCTATTTGATACGGGTACCGATACTTTAGAGGGTACAATGCAATGGCTAATACTGCTAATTACCAACTATCCCAGTGTACAGCAATTGTTTCGTACGGATATCGACAAAAATATTGGCCGCCGATTGCTCCGACCCGATGACATCAATCGTTGTCATTATGTGATGGCATTCATTGCCGAATCGTTACGATTCAGGAATCCCGGAATTTTTAGTTTCACAAATCAATGGAAACAAGTACTATAGGTATTTTGAATCTATCAATAAATAATAATAATTTAATAAGTTTAGTATAATATTTATAATAATTAAATTATTAAATGTTTTTAAATAATATTATTATAAATAAATAAATATATATATATTAATATCTAACAGTATATATATATATATTTATTATTAGACAAATATATAATACACATACCTAAAGACACAATAGTAATTTTATATAATGGCTATATTTTGCGTAACCATAACGATTGTGAAAATAGCGATGAATTTAAACCGGAACGTTTTATTGATTCGGAAACCGGTTGTTTTATGACCAACCGTTTTCCACAATACATACCGTTTGGCATCGGTTTGCGTCAATGTATGGGCGAAAAGTTGGCCATTTCATGCTTATTCCTGATGATCGTACGATTAGTACAATCGACCAAACGTTTAGTATTGGCCGATAACAATGGTATTGATGGCGATCCTAACAATTTAAAAATGTATGGACCCAAACCATACAAGATTCAAATGGAATTTTAATTAATTAATTAATTAATTAAATAAAAACATTTCTAACCTATTCAACTAATTATACATTATAGTTGTGTAATTTTTTGAGATACAAAATTAATAAATTCAATATAGTTTTGAAAATTATTAAATATTAATTACAGTAGTTAACAATAATTCAATTTATTTTTTTAAATATTAATTTATAGTATTATTTATTAGTAGTTTATTATTTAACAACACAAAACAGATAATTAACTTTTTTAAAAAACATATTGATTATAGTAATGGAATTTGTTTAATTTTAAATTAGTTTTTATTATAAAATTATTAAATATAATTTTATTTCACTATACATAGTACTGTACTAGTATTACATACAATATATATACTGTATATATATATCATTACTTATTTATTTACTTATTTATAAAATATTACTTATAAATTATAAGTTATAATTAATGACCGCCGTCTACAGCAAGTTTTAATCCTGTAATTATAGCCGACTTGTCGTCGACTAGAAAAGCCACGGCATTGGCCACATCATCGGGTCTACCGACTCGTCTTAAAGCAATTTTCTCAATAAAATCTGGCGATAAAACCCATTTGCTTAGCATTGGGTTATTAGTTACTAATGGCGTCGATATAAGACCGGGACTAATAGTAATGACAATATTAATGATAATCTATTAATATTAATAAAATAATTAATAATATTATTATTATTATTATTAGCTAACTATAAACACCTGATACTATTAACGCAAACACCGTTAGGTTTTAACTCCAGTGCCAGACATTTAGTTAGCATATCTGTACAAACTTTGTTAATATTATTAGCCAATGCAAGCGGAAACTGATATTTTTAAATATAAAAATATTTTAGTTTTAATAAAAATTATTATCTATTGTATAAACACAACAACAACATCAACAACGAACCGGATTATCATAATATGACGATATGTTAACAATACTACCCTTACTGTCGATAAGCGATTGGGTCAACAATTTTGTCAACAGTTGAGCGGATCGTAAAAATTTCATCTCCTCGTCATAGGTGTCCATATAGTTGGCCGAACCAAAGCCAGCTAACCGATAGACACCGGCGTTGTTGACCAATATATCGCATTTGCCGTACACTGACAGCACAGTGTCCGACAGTTTATTGATATCTTCGTCGAGCAATATGTCGGCACAAACACCGATAGCTGTTGTTTGTTGTCCGTCACCGCCAGCTGTCAGTTGTCTGCATTCGTCGACCACTTCGTCGATTCGCTGTTCATCTCTACCAGTGATGACAACCGATGCTCCCATTGATGACAGTTTCAATGCTATGGCTTTTCCAATGCCAGAAGTGGAGCCTAATTTGATTAATCAATTAATTTTCAAAAAATAAAACAAACAAAAAATATGTTTATATTAGGTTATTAACCAAAATTATGATAAATTAATTTTTTAATAATAGTGAATTTTAATAGCAGTTTATAAATACCAGTTATTAGGGCAACTTTATCTTTTAAGGACATAATTATTTTGACTATTGAATAATGACAATAATTATTGAATACCTAAAAATTTTTACTGATTTTAAATATAAAAATATTTTTAATAAACTAGATTTTTTAACAAAAAAAATAAAATATTAATTTAATTTTTTAATAAAATCTGTTTCAATACAATACTATACAAAATTTAATAAATAATAATTATCATTTTCATAATGATTTTGTAAAATATTTTTAAAAACATTTTCTAGTTTAAGCCTTGTAACAAATGTAAATGTAAATACAGGTAATACTTATTTCTAATAATTTTACCATGTTAACTTTGATAATAATAATAAAAAAATATTAATTTTTTAATAAGTGTAAATAACTATATAATAAAGATATTTAATAAATAAATAAACAATGTTTTTAATACCACAATCAAAATTATACGGCGTTTGGATGCTATTGACAACATTAGCGCTAATCGATAGACACAATCGTCAAATCAGTTTAAAACTGAATACGGCTTCAGTCGGTGTCAACCAATTAAATAACACTCAATACGATTATATTGTTGTGGGCGCCGGTACTGCCGGTTCAATAGTGGCCTGTCGTCTGGCGGCCACAAAACATCGTGTTTTATTGGTCGAAGCGGGCAATGCTCAACACTTGTTGTCGACCCGTTTACCGGGTCTAATGCAACTAAATATGATGCGACCGACACTGTATTGGACGGTACGAAACGATTACACAACTAATAGATCAAACGGTAATCAGTATATCAAAAGTGGCAAATTATTTGGCGGCAGTCATGCCATAAACGGTATGTTCTATATAAAAGGTAGTCCTAAATCGTTTGATAGTATCTATGAAAATACCGGTGCCCGTGGATGGTCTTATTCAGATGTTAGGCCATATTTTATACGTACAGAAAATGATAGTAAATCTGATCGAAACAATAATCAAACTACGAGTTCGCCATTAGGCGTATCCATACAGACCTACGCCACCGAAATGTTTGTGGCCATCGAAAGCCAACTTAAAAACTGGGGCAACAAAGTGGTCGACTATACTGTTGACAGTGATGTAGGTATAGCCAGACTATACAGAACTATACGCAACGGTCATCGGCTATCAACAGCTATGGCTTATATTTTGAACGACAACAACAACAACAACGGTCTGTGTCCTCAACTATCGATAATTACCGATACGATGGCCAGTAAGGTGTTAATCAAACAACAATCGGAAGACAATGGACAGCCACAAGCGTATGGCATTGAGTTTATTCATTTAACAAATAATTTTACATATAGTGTCTATTCTAACAACGAAATAATATTATCGTCGGGTATGAAATGTTTTTATTAAAAAAATTTCAAATAAATATTAATATAATATTAACATTATGTTAAATTAAAGTATTTAATAAAATACATTACATCATATACTTAATTAATTATAGATTTATATGATAGATACACTCATTAATATATTTTAATATTTTTTTAAATAGTATATATTTAATTATAATTATATAATATATATAGTATTAACTTATTTAAATTATATTGTTTTATTCATCCAGGTACTCTGAACACACCAAAGTTGTTACAATTATCGGGTATCGGTGAGGCCAGCAAATTGTCGACAGTTGTAGATGGCGTCAAACCGACTAAAATTTGGTCGGACATACCCGTAGGCCATAACCTATTGTGTCACGTGTCCGCATCATTTGAGTTCAGATTGAAAACACAGTCATTAATCGATACAATAAGTGTCGCCGATTTATATCGGGCTCTGTATGAACGTATCGGTCCATTGACACAATCAGATGCACTGATATTGCGATTAAAAGTGCCGTCAAATTTCACTAATAATAATAATAATAAAATTGAAAATATTATACAAATTGAATTTATATTATCTAATTATATTGGACTAAATAAAAGTTTATACATAACATTGTCCGACATTATGGAGGAAACTAAGGGTAACATAACTATTGTATCGACTGATATATGGGAACCGCCGGTTGCCTATTATCCCTATATTATACGTGATAACAGTCCACTTATGTGGGCCACGGCCTATATGTTTAGATTTTTAGAGACTACCAGTATTGACAACTATATCGATCCAATACCACTGGAAATGGACGACAATTGCCAACAGTGTTCAGACGGTCGCCCTCTGGCAGACTGTTCCGAGTATCACAAATGTTTGCTAACTGTGTCGGCCTATGCGGGACATCCGATCGGTACTAGTCGTATGGGTTCAATCAATCGGTCGGACACTGTAGTAGACAACAGATTAAAAGTGAAAGGCGTGTCCAGACTTCGTGTAGTCGATGCGTCCGTATTTCCTAATGTTATCGACGCCAACACAATGGCGACCGCTATATTGGTGGGCGAAATGGGCGCACAAATGATTATTAATGACAACAACAACATCAACAACAACACCACAAACAATGAACAACATAATCAATCATTATATTACCATGATGATTTATAATTACAAAAAATGTATAACTTTAATATTTATATATGGATTTTTTTAAAAAAAATAACATAAAATATTGTAAAGTCTATGTTTTAGTTAATCAAAAATGTTAGTTAAATTCATTAAAAAAACAAGATTACATTATTTGTTTATTTTATATCATTAAACTAAGTATTAAAATTAATATCAATTTAAATAATATATTGACTTTATATTGACTATCGACTACTAAAGACAATAATTATTGGATGTGACTGATATTCAGATCTTTATGGTAGAAAAACAATAGTCCTAAGCATTGTTTGCAACATTAGTAAAATAAATGTGTGATATATATTGGCAAAGTTAAAATGGTTTTTTCGTATTAGAAAATCCAAGTTTAACATTATTTTTTATTATTCTATCAAATTATTAAAAATTCAAACTACACAATTTTTACTAGCTTAATTATCAGTCTATTATTTACACTAACAAATTTCATTATAGAATATAAGAGTATTCAATAATAAAGACGGTTTTAAAGACACCCAAACATAAAATTTAAATCTCTTAAGAATATTGTTAAAATTTTAGTTTTGTAGTTGAGCAAATTTTATTATATTCATGCACTAGATAGCTGAAAAAAATAGAATTGTTAGGACGTAATTTTAAAAAATTAAAACTAGCTAAATCGGTTGAAATAGTTGACCGGATATACTAGAATATCAGTCACCGGAACTATTTCAGGACAGTCATTATAATCGTAAAATCGATATTTTTTAGTTTAATACTCATTGGTCTCACTATTAAATATTGATCTCAATGTGATAATGTATGATATAATTATAGTTATAAATTAATTTTGTAAAATTGTGTGCCATTGACACAAATCCATGTTTTCAATCTCTAAAACAACAATAGTTTCCCAAATATTTAGTGGTTATGATTTAAAAGACAATATAATGATTGTATTATATATTTATACTTAATATACTAATAACTTATTTGTTGATAATTATATTTTTGAGTATATTTTTATTTATCTACAATTTCTCTATTTAAGATTAACAATTATTAAAAATTTTATCATAAATTTTATATTATTTATAGTAATATTATAATAATAACTATATATTAAAATAATAAAATACTAAACATATCGATAAAGTTTTCCCTCCCATTCTTTGCCGTTGAGACAAACAGTTCGGACCAATGCTTCGGTCACTTGATAGGGATCGCAGTTAGATGCGGGTCGCCGATCCTCGAAATAGCCGCACCCGTCTTGAGCCACTTGTTTAGGTATTCGAGCACTGGCTGACCGATCGGCCACACCGTATCGGAACTCATCTAACTTTGGCATAAAGTCACCGATAAATCGTCGCTTATTATCAGCGCCTCCGTGCGGGTCATACTTAGTCATATGTTTGGCGTGAGTTTTACTCAGTTTTTCTAACGCCCGCTCGATCTCTTTGATGCCACCTTCGGCCCGCATAGCGGCCGTACTGAAGTTGGTATGAGCGCCGGCACCTAACCAACTGGGCACTGGTTTTGGATCAAATGTTACGCCAATGTGAAGATCTTCAGCCACTCTATAGAGTATGAATCGAGACATCATTAAGTCATCACCGATACGTATGCCTTCACACGGACCGATCTATAGTTATAAATAGTGCTATTAATTGTAAAATCAAATGAAAATTTCATTTGTAAACCTGATATTCCCATTGAGAGGGCATTGATTCGGCATTTTCACCGCTGATTTTAATACCCGCGTAAAGACAAGCCCTGAAGTGAGCCTCAATGACATCGCGACCGTAAACATTGTTTGCACCGATTGCTGAATTATAAAATGCTTTGTGGTTTTCTATATCTTTTGGATAACCGGTTTTAGGCCAACCCAATAGTCGACCATCTGTACCGTCCAATAGATAAAATTCTTGTTCGATTCCAAACCACGGATGCTCATCCATGGCTTCATCCATGGCTTCCTTACAACTATACCTAAAATTAATTATTAATTGTTTCATTTCATCCGTATATGTTTCGCATAAAACAAGTTTATTGTTTCCACGTCTGAACGGGTAGTTATACAGTTGTACGGGTTTTAAATAGATTTCAGAGGTAGACATATCGGATACACCACAGTTCCAAATGGGCAGTTCAGACGCATCCCGGGGCACAAAGTCTACTACTTTTTATTTTGCCGCACAAATGGCTTTGATAGTTACCATTGCTATCGGGAACACCCGGATGTTGGTAGACGTATGTTATCTGAACGGCATCTTTGGGCTGTTCGAGGGACAGGTATTTTGCCAAATATGCCTGATTTGACTTCAATGATGTCGAAACACTTATACTCATACTATTAAACTAATTAATGAATTTTAATAAAATTAGATTTTATTTTTCAGGAAAATAAATATTAAACTAATCGATAAAATGTTGTGTTTAGTTTTTTACGAATTTATATACTTTTAAAAACATATGTCTTTTTAAACAGTGATTTATATATCACTTATAATTTATATTTATATTGAGAATAAATATTAATTTAGTAGAATGTGATCAGTAATAATTTACGTTAATAAAATTTATTAACTATTTAAAAAATATTAATCATACCATTAATTATTTCTGTAATAAAATTATTATTTGTTACTAAACTAATTATTATAAATATTAAGATATTTATAATTAATTTACTTCTATATTTATTAAATTTTTAATTAATTAATTTTAATTAAAAATTTATTAACAATTAACTAAACATGGTCATTTCAGTTATCGTCATGAATATTTTTTGTAATCGACCTTCGTCATCAATGATTTCAAAAAAATGTTAATTTATAAAAATATGATTTTGCAAAATAGTTTATATAGTTATTAAAATATTGAATTTAAGTATAATTTGTGTGATAAAAGTAAAAGTATATGTATAAAAATATTTTCAATTAACAAAATACTGTATATTGAATAACAAAAATATAATAAAAAGATTTTCTACTGTGTTCATTGAATTCACCGATTCTATAAACTTATTAAATAAACTTTTTTTAATATGTTGACAAGTTTTCAAAATAATCGAATATCACTATAAATTATAATATAAAAATTACAATAGTGTGGTTTATATATTTCGAAAACTAGTACATATTAAAATTTCGTTTTTAGAATTAATAATATAATTGAAATGTTCATCTAATAAGTATATAATATTCATAAATAACATCATTTTTATTTTAAACTAAAGAGCCAGTCAAATGATCTTGCGCCACGTAATTTTTGAATAACCTTTAAACGGTTAGAGATAATTTAATTCTGTAAAATACATTTAAGAATATCATATCGACCACACTTAATATACACCAACTCGCAAAACTAGGATGACCAGATATACAAAATATTGGGACCAACGAAAGACACTATGCTACAGGACAAACAATGTCAAATGATATTATATAGTATGATTTATGACAAACTTAACAAGTCATAAAAATAAAATTAACAATCCGAATTTGATGATTCTTTTTTTACATTAAACTATTATTTCTTGACTACAAAATACGCCTGTCATAATAAATTTATCAGTTGTATCTTGACCTATAGCTGACCTATAGCATAGTTATCAATTCTAATCGATGTGTGTGGACGATTCAGAAGCGCCGGGCATCACAAATATGCCGGGCCGGTGATGTGTCACCGGACTCTTGTTACATTTTACAACAATATTATTGTGATGAATCACTAATTAATACCATTAATTAATATTTATTTATAATATAACATATTTATCTCTTTAAATATTATATTCAATGTATTTATATATAATCAATATTCAATGTAAATGATGACTCTCTATATAGCATTGCTTATAACTATATAGCAAAGCACTAGTCTTCCCGTTACTCATAGCAACTCATCCAGAGTATCACATAGTAAATACAAAAAAAAGCAAAACAGTATTTATTCAACTATCTATTAACATTACTTCACTGGCGTAGTGGTTTGCGTTTCACATAGTGAAGAGTAATACCCGAGTTCGCGTATCACTAGTTTAGAATTTTAAATAAATTAGTAAATATGAAACAAATTATTTTTAGTCTTTTAAAATGTCATCTTTAATACTTTTGTAGCTTAGCTAAATAGCTCAACTAATTAAGAAGCTATTAGTGTTTCATAACTTTTTACATTTATTGACTATTTCTTCTCTTAATGGTCTAAAGTTTATAGAGTAATCACTTTCCAATTCTCATACTATTACTTTTCTATTGGCTCATAACATAGAAAATAGGGAAAAAGTTAATTATCTTTCAAAAATTATAGTATAAAACAGTATATATTTTATTTGACACCGCGATTGATTCCGACCCCCACCGAAATAGCCCATCAGAAAAATTATACCCGAAAACCTATCTAAATAGTTGACTCCTTTATTATTATATAAGTAGCATACCGTCAGTGGTAATCTTCAGATGAGTTTCGGGCTTCAGCTAGGAATTAAGAACCTAGTTAGGTAGTGAGTCTGCTACCGGCTGAAGTCACTCCACCCTTTAGCTCCCCATAGGCTCAGTATGCCAATATAGTATGTAGTACTGCCCCTCACGAGAAACACATAGTATATTATTAATATGTAATGTTCACAGAGGTAGCAATAGTACACAATATACTGTATCACTAGACAGTCTATCCTATTTACTGTTGACGTGTCATATTCCCATATAAGAATAATAAAATATTTATTACTATACATTGTGTGTTATTATTTCATCGTATTGTTAGACGGCCTAACATCACTATTCACTCGGAGTCAACTCTACATATTGGCTTCTAAACGGATCGATCAACTTAAGATCCGTCACATTATAAAGTTAACTTACTATTATTATTACAATTATATCCAATGTGCTATACTAGTACTATATTAATTTAGACACAATTATTATATTTTTATATCTAAATTGATATAGTACTATCATAGCACATTGGATATAATTATTTATTTATTCATAATAATTATTTATTAGTATTAATTA